GTGGGGTCGCGGACGGTGGTGTTTCCACAGGGGACCGTGCTTGCGCATGCAACGCCGGTGCCCTGTGAGGAGCCCGTCGTAAATCACGTAAGCGCTGCCCCTCTGCCACGACCACATACGGACAGTGATGAGGGGTGGCTCGAGGCGCTTTGTGCGGGATCGACGGACCTGTCAGACTTACAGCGTCAAAAGCTTAAAACACTGCTGCGTGAATTTTCTGACGTTTTCAGTCGTAACAAATACGATCTGGGCTGTACTCATCTGCTGCGTCACCATATTGATACGGGTGACAGCGCGCCAATACGCCAGAATCCTTTTCGGTTAAGTCCCGCTGAAAAGGACCATGTCAAATCGGCCGTTGATGACATGTTAGCCGCCGACATCATTTCTCCTTCTACCAGCCCTTGGGGAGCGCCGATTGTCTTAGTTAAAAAACATGACGGCTCGTTGCGGTTTTGCGTCGATTTTCGTCGCCTCAACAAAATTTCTGTTGCCGACGCATACCCGCTCCCACGGATGGACGAATCGCTTGACGCCTTGGCGGGGGCGCGATTCTTCTCCACATTGGATTTGCTTTCGGGATTCTGGCAGCTTCCTCTGGACGATGATTCGAAACCCAAAACTGCATTCCGTACACCGCACGGCCTGTTCCAATTCAACCGGTTGCCGATGGGACTCCACTCAGCGCCGGCAACTTTCCAGCGATTGATGGAATTGGTCTTGGCTGGGTTACAATGAGACTAGTGCTTGATTTATTTGGATGACGTTATCGTCTTTAGCAAAACATTCGACGAACATCTCCAGAGGTTGCGGGCGGTTTTCCTCAAAATGCGGGCTGCTAATTTGAAATTTAAACCCCAGAAGTGTCATTTGTTACGCGAATCTGTGCGTTATTTGGGACATATCGTCGGACGCTCAGGTATTGCTACCGATCCCGCCAAAACGCAGTGTGTCAGCTCCTGGCCGACTCCCACCTCTGTGGGAGAGGTCAGGAGTTTCGTTGGATTCGCGTCGTATTACCGACGGTTTGTCGCTGATTTTGCAACGATTGCAAAGCCCTTACATGCTTTGACATCGAAGGGGGTCCGGTTTCACTGGGGACAGGAGGAGGAGGCTGCTTTCCGATCCCTCCGGGACGCTCTGGTAAAGGCTCCTCCTTTGGTTTACCCTGATTTTTCCAAACCCTTTTTGCTCGACACGGACGCGAGCAACACGAGAATTGGGGGCGTGCTTTCGCAGGTGGTTGACGGCGTGGAACGGGTAGTAGCGTACGGTAGTCGGGTGTTGTCTCCAGCGGAGCAAAGATATTGTGTCACCCGTCGGGAACTGTTGGCAATTGTTAACTTTATCCAACAGTATCGCCCATATCTGTACGGTCGGCATTTCACCGTCCGCACAGATCATGCGGCACTACAGTACGCCCTGCGAGTTCAACAATCATCGGGACAATTGTCTCGATGGTTGGAGATTCTCCAGGACTTCGATTTCGAAACTACGTACCGTAAGGGCGTTCACCACACCAATGCGGACGCTCTGTCACGGCTGCCAACCACCTCCGAATGCGCATGCCTCCTGGGGTCGGGGCGTTGCAGGCCTCCGAGTGATATGTCCGTTCCGGTCCTGGCGGCCGCCGCTGACGCAACGTCGATGACGGGTTCGATTGCACAACAGGGAAAAGATTCCTTGCTGGGGTTGCCTGTTGCTGAATGGGGGCGCCTCCAGATGGAGGACACCTCCCTCCTCGCGTTGCGTCGTCGCGTCGGAAGTGCTGGGCGGGAGAGGGGTGATGTCGACTCATGGGAGATGGTCCAGGGTCTGTTAATGCATTGGGACGGGAGATCCCATCGACACCGGCTGGTGGTCCCTTCTGTTTTGCGGGGCAAGGTGGTGTGGGCCGCGCATGAGCGTCTCCTCCACCTGGGGACTCAAAAGACCCTCGCCATGCTTCAGCTGGATTTTTTTTGGCCGGGCATGACAAGGGATGTCGGGGATCTGTTGGGGTCATGTCCTCGGTGTGCGCAACGTAAACCACCAGCACGGGAGTCTAACCCGCCTTTGCAATCCATCAGAGTTTCCAGGGTCAACGAGCTTGTCGCGCTTGATATTCTGGGCCCATTCCCCGCTACCTCCAGGGGCAACAGATACCTGTTGACCAGGGTGGAATATTTTATGCGCTGGCCTATGGCCTGGCCCCTTGCCAACCAGTCGGCAGCAGCCATCGCGGAGGCCTTTGTCCAGGGATACGTCCTGGACAAAGGTGCTCCGGAGCGGCTGCTGACCGACCAGGGCAAAACATTTTCTGGTAAACTTCTCCAAGAGGTCTGTGAGCTCCTGGGAACGAAAAAAATTCGTACCTCCCCATATCATCCGCAAACTGACGGGATGGTGGAGCGTCCGCATCGAACCATCACGTCAATTCTGTCCCAACAGGTCTCGGACTCACAGACCGATTGGGACCTTCAAATTCAAGGGGTGTTGGCAGCATATAGAATGGCTCCCCATGCGGCAACGGGATTTTCCCCCTTCTTCCTGATGTACAGCCGCGAACCTGGCCCACCTGTTCAGACCCAGCTGCAGATCTCCACGCCGCGGGGTAAATCTAAATTGGCCGACCATGTGAAATTCAATATTGCTAAATTAACAGAGGCACGGGAGGCTGCTATGCAAAATTCCGACCTCCGCCAGAAGGCTAACGAGAGGCTCAGGCTGGGTCGGGCGCACGTGTTGTAGTGGAAACCAGGTGACAGGGCATGGTTACACTGTCCCCAAGTACCACTTGCAACCTCCTCTAAACTGGTGTGGCCGTGGCGGGGTCCTGTGGAGGTGGTTCAGGTTTTGCAGGCCTCAGTGTGTACGTATCAAATGGGGGAAGCGGCGGTGGTTTGTGCACCCCTCCAGATTGAAACCGTTCGTTGCGGTCCGAGTTCCCACTTCACACACTCCCAGGGTCCGCCTCCGCTGCTCTCACCTAACGTGCTGCCGGCTGTCCCGCCCCCAGGTGCACCGGGAGTGACGGGCTCACGCCCGCCAACCCCTCCTGGGGATGCCGAGGGTCACGCGGCAACAGAAAGTGACTCACTCGGACATGGACGGTTGCCACCCAACAGTCCGCCATCCAGGGTTGCCCCGTGTGACGGGCCTGCTGCAAGAACGCGCGCGAAAATGCGCAGACTTTTGTGATGCCCGGAGGATTGTATATATGTTGTGTTCACTGTGTGTTGTGTGTGTGCTGTTTTCCTGCTAATTGTATATATGGTGCTCTTACGGAATTCGTATTTATTCGGGGGGGGGGGGGTGCGTCGGGTTATTTTCTCTTCTTGCTGTTGTTGTTCTTGTTGTTGTTCTTGTTGTCGTTATTGTTGAAAAAAAATTGTGAGGCACACGCGGGTTCAAGGGGTAAATACACTTTTATTGTCGTTTTGTTGCAGCCGGGACGGCTGCGAGCTGTACAGGGGGGGGTGATGTAGGGGTGTTACGGAGGGGCTGTTATACAATGGGATCACACGGGAAAGAAACACAGTGGGCGTGGCTATGTCGGTGCACGGGAAGGTGCTCCCAGCGACGTTTGCATCGGGCAGCCTGGGGGGCTGACTCAGAGCTGGGATCCCCCAGGGGCCCCACCCCTCAGCGGGGGTTTTGGTATAAAAGGGGATGAGCCGGAGGGCTCGAGGAGAGATGTTGAAGCTAACCAGTGAAGACAGAAGATCGTCTAGATAGAGCCCTGGACTCCCCTGGATCGCCGCCCTTATCAGGGCCGAACAAGTTCGAGCCAGCGGCGTGGTCCCGAGAGCCAGAGCCGGTGCTCTTGTAAGAGCTGGTCTGGGACTCCGGGTACCGTGAGCCCGACTTACCAGTGTCGGGCTAGCTAGCCTCCCCTAGCCCGTTAGTGGAGGCCAAGAGGTAGGCTAGGCGTAGCTAGAGGGTGTATTCCCAGTTAGACGGGTGAAGGGGCCGATACCCCCTCCAGTGTTGTATGTCCAGTGTTGTGCTGTACCCGACACGGAATAAATACGTGTGCCTCCAACCCCGGCGTCCAAGTCTCCTGGAAGATTATTACACATGTGCGGTTTCTGGCTTGTCGAGATGTACCCTGTTCAGGATTGACTTCAGCTTGGGTTGCTGCAGTGGCTGTGCAGTCAGTCGTTTGTTTTAGTGCACGCTGCTCTTCAGTTTCCTCAGCCTGTGCTACTCTGAATATATTTTGCCATCATAAAAATTCATCAGAAAAATAACATTGCTTAATCCCTGTCAGTTAATATAAACATTGCAATAACATAAATTTTAAAAGGTAGTAGTTATCTATGTTTTAAAGGTGCTGTAAATCTGTGTGTTGCCTGTAGTGTCCACCCGAATTCTCAATAATGATAAGACCTGTTGATCAGATGCAATACACAGTCTACATATCACATCTAAAAGATGTAAAATAAAACAAACGTCTCAAAAATGTAACATGTAGCAAAACTATCTTCTAGAAACATGTAGAGTATTTTAGAAACACTCTATAAAAGTCAAGCACTGATAACAAAGCACAAATGAAGTAATATAAGAATGCAAAATATTAGCCTACCATATTGTAAATATAACATATTTGGCAATGAATGATACATTTTTTATATCTGAATGAAAACAAACTCGTCCACAAATAATAATGTAATTGTGCTCTCTCCATCAACTCAATGTTGAAATTAAAGCTGCAGGACGGCCATTTAATAATGGTTAATTTCGCAAAAACATTATAACGAAATAAAGCACTAAATGTAATCAAGAAGCATGCAAAAAACGTCCTATTTCGAATCACTATGACATATAAATCACCCTCACAGCACTATATAAAAAAATATAAACCTGACCCATGCAAACCCAACAGGTTAAATGCAATTGTTAATAATAAAAAAAAGAATGTAAAACATTTCAACCACCATTTTGTTTTATAAATTTGCCGCGAGCAAACGGATTCAATAAAAAAATCTATCTAACTCAGAAATAAAAACGTTTCTTACCTGTAAATGTGTATATGCACAGCAATCAAACGGAATGAACATCACCTAATGGCTCAATTCCTGTATTGACAGGATTGATTGGAAGTGTTAATATTAGAGAAAGATGTCCGACTAACGATATTAATCAAATTAGAAAAATAGTGTATAAAATGTGAAACTTTTAAATGTGAATATATGTACTATCATGAAACATAGTTGAATCCCTAGCAGTGAATATAAAAGAACAGACAAACTATTTAGAAAACTTAAACATTTGTGTTTTTAGGGAGCTGTAAACCTGTCACACCTATACAGTGTCCAGCGGAATGTCAAAAATGATAACACTTAGGCATCATAAAGCACATTAAACGTATAACATCTGAAATATTTAACATAAAAAATGTTTTCCAAAAAATGAAACATTTAACCAAACTATGTGATAGAAATCTATAGAGTATTTAATATTAAATGCTCGTCAGCCAGTGATAATACAGTATAAATAAAATAATGAAATATTGCAAGATATTCTAATAAAATAATGGTAATATACCATCAATTAGGAAAAAAACTAAAATGGCCATGAAGATATTAAGCAACCATTGTTTCTTATATGTGAATGCAATGCAAACAATGTCTACCAAAAAAAAACTAAAAATTATCAAACAACTAATTTTTAGTCCGTGGTGAAGGCGAAATATAGTTATTTTAAAAGAGAAGTAGTTAAATATCACATTTTGAAGTGTGAATAAAGACTGTATAATCTTGATGTGAAGCTTTCGTGACTGCAGGAATCCATACTCTTTTTTTCTTTTGGTAAAGTCACGTATTTAGAAGTAAAATTATTAGTTTAATAAAAAAAGAGTATAAATACTGTATCAAAAAACAAATTTTTTTGTCCCTGGTGGCGATGTTTACTACACGCACACCGCCCTGCTGCATGCGTGTTGTGTATATAGAGCGGGTAGTGTAGCGGTTAGCGCGCTGCGCAACGAACCTGGCTCACCCGGGTTCGATTCCCACTCACGGCAGACACTGGTGACGAATATTTGAACCGGTCCTGGGCCTCCCCTAGGTCGATTCAGCCTCAAATGGGGTAGCTGGTGCGGGTGTGTTGGCCGTGAGCGGGAATGAAACTGGGGTCGACAGGTTCCGTGGTGCAGTGCCGTTACGGGTACAATACCAACACACACACACGGACTGACACACATACATGGACTCACACACACACACACTTGGACGTACACACCTAAAAAAAAATCTTAAAACAAACCTAATTTATAGTCTGTATGTTTCTATTGACGTGACATTACCGAAAGAGGCAAATACAAAATGAAAGGCAACCGTTTTAAATAATTAAATAATTACGATAATACATTGTCCGACATTTAGTTTTTAAATTTGCCGCGAGCGAAAGTGTAAAAGAAACATTTACTCATATTAATTAACTTATGTTACCTGTAACTGTCCAAATGCAACACAAATTAACCCGAATCAACAAATGTCACTGACCAACCCCCGCAAAAAGGAGGGAAGTGTGAATAAGCTGGAGCGAAAAAGAAAGATATTTATTTATTCTTTATTTTTAAAATGAAAAAAGTCTAAAAAGATAAAATTTTGAATCGTTAATAAACACTGTGTAAAAGAAAAGTGATGCTTTTTTTAGTCCCTGGGTAGTCAGTGTTACACACACACTTGGACTTACACACCTAAAAAAATGCTTAAAACAAACTGAATGTATTGTCCTTATGTTTCTATTTACGTGACATTACCAAAAGAGGCAAATAATAAATTAAAGGCACCCGTTTAAAATAATAAATTCAGTACAATCATACATTTTCCGCCATTTTGATTTTTGTATTTACCGCGAGCGAAAGTGTGAAATAAAAAGTTACTCATATTAATAAACTTATGTTACCTGTAACTATGTCCAAACGCACACAAATTAACCCGAATCAACAAATATCACTGACCAACCCCCGCAAGGAGGAGGAAAGTGTGAATAAGCTGGAGCAAAAAAGAAAGATTTATTTAATCTTTATTTTAAAAACTCTTAAAAGATAAAATTTTGTATCGATAATAAACACTGCAACAGAAAAGTGATGAGTGTTTTAGTCCCTGGGTAGTCAGTGTTAATTTATACATGCTTATGCCTCAAAAGTATCAAAAAGACAATAATTCCCCTCAAACGTAGCTTTTGTGACTAAGGACAGTGATATTTAGAAATATAGCTATTTTCAATGATAAAACGCGGTGTGCATTTGTGTCATTCCTTCACGTAAAGTCCTGGTCACAAAAGCAAAGTTTGTGGGGAATTATAGCCTTTTTTGAACTTTTGAGGCATAAGCATGTAAAAAGTAACACTAACTACCCAGGGGGAAAAGAATCGTGTTACATCGTGTACGATCATCAAACATTGCTCAACCTCTATCATCTTCTTACCTAATAATTCAGAGTAAGAAAAAGTAGTAAACAGTAATATCTATGTTTTAACGGAGCTGTTTTTAAGCGCGACTCACCTTGTAGCTTGTCCACGAGAATGAAAATCCCCCTACACCGACAGCGCGTGTGTCCGTTGCCAGGGGCAACCGCCGGTCAGCGTTTCGCGCATGCGCAAATGTGTGCTGTCGCGCGCCGAACGGCGTGGGGAAATAAATAAATATATTGTGCCACCTGTCCCACCTGATGACGGAGACTTGTGTTGCCTCCGAAACGTTGTGATCTTTATTTTATTTTATTATTAATTTTGATGTTTTACCTACGTGACTTTACCGAAAACACCTAAGAATATGATTCCTTGCAGTCACGAAAACTTCAAGTCTAGAATTAGATAGATATAGTTGAATATCACTAAATCGATAATTAAACCACTTTAAAGGTGATAGGCCGCTGTACGTGAGTTGTATCGTTCAGTTTCGTTCCGACAAACGGGGCACTACTTTTTCTTTTGCTCAATATGTTCAACGTTAATAAAAGGTATCCAAGCAAAAAGTTCTCCACGCATTATCCTGCAGTTAATGAGAAAAGTGTAATTTATTGGCGCACTATATTGACTGCGTATTGAGACATATAAAACTGTTGAGCTAGATTTTCAACCAATCAGCATCGAAAATGTAAGTAGGTCAGAGCCAAAATCAAGCCAATATCACTACGCACATGTAAACATGGAGGAGGACGTAAGCAGCGCAGCTTCATCTGATAGCGGCGATCAAGCTCGATTAACACAGGTATGTTTACTCACTTGAATTGAATGTTATGCAAGCTAATATATTGCCAACTGGGTTTATAATTTATTCTTCATATCTTTAATGTAGGACTTCTTCGTGAGGCAGCTCAAATGAAATCAGATGAGAGCATTCTGACACACATTCGTGGGAAAGATTGCATTGCAATCTAGGTCTGATACCACAAATCCTGCTATCGAGATTACACAAGATTTCTCAGCAAAACTGAAAAAACATATAGGTAGGTACAAAAAATGTTCACAAATCTGTGGGGTCACTCCAATTACATTTACATATTGCGTGTGAATGCAATGTAATTCCATAGTCAAATTATTTATCTATAGAAGGTAGGGCTTTAAATATACATGTCCTATCTAATGCTCTGACTGGAGCCTTCACTTAGCAACAGTGAGACGTATGCTGGCATGGTATTTTGTATATGACCGCCAAAATTAAGCAAGGTACCTATCAGCATATTGGGTCGAGATGATCAATCTTCCAAAGACTCATCCACACTGCTATGAAGAAGTCACTGCAAAAGGAAACTGGACAGTACAGCGTAAGGATGCTAACAGCTTGTGACCAAGCAATAGAACAAACCAGCAACCGTGATTCAAAGACCAAAGGCGGCATAACTGGGATAACATTGAACAGAGGTGCCGTCCAGCGATGGATACTGTCTCATCCTGAACGTTCTGCAATCACAAGGCAGTGTGAAATGATGGCTGGAATGCAACATGAAGAGAGGGGTCATAAAGAGTTGGATGCAACAAGAATTGCAAAAGACAATGCTGCTGTTATATTTTTGGTATCAGCGGTTGAGTCTATGATCAATCCCTTGCTGCCTCGTGAAGATCTTGTATGTATTAGCTCTGGTGTTGTTGCTACAAAGACTGTCAGAGATGACATACAAAGTGCTTGTGATAAAGGTGAAACAGCTCTGAAAATTTTCATCCAAGATCGAGTCCAGTCATCAAAAACAGACTTCTTCTCTCCAATAAAGTCCTTGAAGCTCACTACGTTTGGGGATCAAATGAAGAAATCCTCCAAGACAAAAGATGGAAATCAAGTCATTTTAAAAAATGACAGGAGACTCTTTGCACGACTGTTAGTGATAAGTCAATCCCTGTCTGTAAACTTGAAAGAGATTCTGACATATTCACTTGGCAATATCTCATCCCCGCTAGCAAGCACTGATGGTTCATTAGCCAAAACAAATAAGGCTGCTCTTCTAGCTTGTTTAGAATCAAAGAACAGGGACTGTCATGTGAACAAGACTGTTGGTGATAATGGTGCCCTACTGATAGATGGCATGGCATTGATCAGGAGTCTCAAGAATATACCAGACACATTCGGTGAGCTTGCTGATGATCTTCAACTTATGATTAAGATGGGTAGAAAGTTCAGTTGTCCAAGGGTCGATTTTGTCATTGATCGCTACCCGGCAGTGAGCATCAAAAATGCTGAACGATCAAGACGTGCTGTTGCTGAACAACAATTGCTGCAAATATACAGCATCAAACAGAAGACTCCAAGTCAGTGGACCAAGTTTCTAGCCAGTGGTGAAAATGAAAAAGCCTTGACAGACTTTCTCTTTGAGACATGGAGAACTGTGCCTTTACAAGCAGCTGGAAAAGACATAGCTATCTTTGTGGCACACAGAAATGTATGTCATCAACTCACTCTTAAAGATGGCATTATGTCTGTCAAAGAGGTAGAATCTTTGACTTGTGGCCATGAATAAGCTGACACGAGGCTCCTACTTCATGCAAAACATGCCTGGAGTGAACTTTATAATAAGATAATCATCCAGAGTCCTGACACTGATGTTGCTATCATTTCACTTTCAATAATGGCTAAGCTTCCCTCAGCAAAGATGTACTTTCTGACAGGAACAAAAGACAGGCAAAGAATGTTAGATCTCCAGGCTATTGGTTCTGCTTTGGGTCCTTCACTAACAAGAGGCACTGATAGGACTACACACATTCACTGGCTGTGACTCAACTAGTTCCTTTTATGGGAAAGGAAAAGAGAAACCACTAAATATAGTGTCTGGAAATGCAGAGTACATCAGTGCATTTGTTGCTCTTGGGAGGCAATTTGAAATGGACAGCACCACATTTGTGACCATAGAACGTTTTGTGTGTGAGCTGTATGTAGAAAAGGTATCAGATGTTAATTTGGCCAGATACAATAGGCTCTGTGTGCAGGCCTCTTTCGAACAGGCATTACCTCCAACAAAAGATGCACTTACAGAGCACTTCAAGCGTGCTAACTACCAAGCTGCAATCCACAGGAGAGCATTGGATCCTTTTATAAATGCTCCCAGTCCAGACGGCTTTGGATGGATTGTCAAGGATGGTGATCTCATCATATCATGGATGACTAAAGATCCAGCTTCTCAACAGATTTTGGGGTCACTCCACTGTGGGTGTAAGTCTGGTACTTGTACAGGTGGAAGGTGCTCATGCCACAAGGCTGACCTGGCCTTCACTGACCTATGTAAATGTGTTCATTGTGACAATGTGAGATTAACTGAGGATATTGTTTCATGTTAATCTGATAGTGAGGACAGTGATCTTGATATTTAGTGATGTGTATATGATAATAAAATTAATATAGGACATATATATTTAATATAAATCAATCAAAATTAAATCTTGTTTACAATAATCATTGCTGTGAATATGTAGATGTAGTGCAGTTGCTGCTCATGTATGCGAATTGACAATTCACCATTAAATGTGTTATTTTGAAAAGTGCTTTTTTTATATATTATATTTTGGCATAATTCTATTTGTTATTCAGATTTTACCTTAAATATTACCTTTCAATTGGAACAACATAGTGAGAAGTAATTGGGGTGTTAATGCTACAGCAGAAGTTTTCTTGATAATCTTATCATGTTTACTGTGCATATGTAATATCTTCAATTATGGCGGGAGACGAGTTGACGGGGCAGCACTCTTTATTCACAACGGTTGCACACGTAACAGTCCCAACCGAAATAACACCTATGTCACACGTGCCTGACTCGGCCACGTACTCTGTCTTCCCCGTGGGGTACGCGCACCTATCTCTGCCTTGACTCAGGCTCTCCGGCTACGCTCTCCCCACGGGAAGCTATCAGACCCCTACACACACCCGGCTCGGGTCGTACTCCGTCTCCCCCGTAGGGTACGCGTGCCTACCTCTGCCTAGACTCAGGCTCTCCGGCTACGCTCTCCCTACGTAGAGCTATCAGACCCCTCTTGTCAGACTACGGGTCTCGACCACTGGGCTACACAGCCCGAGCCCTTACAAGGGCGTTGGACCGTGAATCCCAAGGCCTCGCCTCTGAGCCTCTCAGAACCCCGGCCCTTACAAGGGCAGCGGGGCTAGGGGTCCCAGGGCCTATCTCTTCCTCCGTCTTCTGTCTTCACTGGTCACCAACTCCCCGAGTGCCAGCGTGCATCGCCTTACATAGCCCTCCGCTCCCGAGGGGGCGGAGCCTATGCGGACCGCGATGCGAGCACCCACTCGATGTAACCAATCACCACGCGCTGCCTCACGATCTCTCCTGCCAGCGCGCATCACCACTACATGAGCACCCACTCGATGTAACCAATCACCACGCGCTGCCTCACGATCCCTCTTGCCAGCGCGTATCACCACTACACATAGATAGCAACTTCAGGTATATCACACATTTCAAACTGGTTTATTTTGTACTTCAAGTGGTAATTCTGCATTTTTGGGTTTATATGATAAACAGGTTTAAAAGTGCAAAATTCCCTATGGTTTCCCTTTTTTCAAAATGGGCACCTTTAGCATCATTTTTCTCAAAAACTGCAAGGTTGTGTGCGGATAACTTTTTCCTAAGGAATCTCTATATATTTCTGATGTTAAATATAAAAAAGTAGGTAGTGCCCCACTTGGTGGAACGAAACCCTATTTCTAGGCCTCTTTTAGGCTACCGACAGCGGCCTATACGCAAATGTGTGCTGTCGCGCGCCAAGCGGCGCGGGGAAATAAATAAATCTAGTTGAATATCACTAAATCGATAATTAAACCACTTTAAAGGTGATGGATGAAAAAACGGACATGCCTATTCCCACCGCGGGCCACGGGACGTGCCTCCCGGCAAAAAAAATCGGCCTAAACCCCACGGTCCGAGCGCCAAATCCCTCGCAAGCGAGCGTACACAGACGAACAGACGGACAGACAATTTTTGAGTACGACGTTTCGCTGGTAATTGCATCCAGCATCAGCAAAACGTCGTACTCAAAAATTGTAAATGCTGTGGTTTCACGCTTCAACACACCGGTGGGCTAAAGCAGTGAACTATTAGTATTTTGTCAACGTGACACTTTTTTACTGATTGGCCATGTCGGGTGGTGGAGGGTTACGACACATTTATAAATAACGCGGTCTAAACCCAAAAACGTTGATTATGAATAATATTGGTCGCGAAAGCCTACGTGTTAAAAAACTGACTCACTTTACTTAATAACCAGGCAACAGTCTACATTATAGACTGCCAGTACACTCACCCAGCTTAATAATCAGGCTACAGTCTACATTATAGGCTGCCAGTACACTCACCCATCTTAATAACTATTTGTACAGTCTTCATTTAAAGCATCGATTCTTGGCGCGCTTGGGTTTCATTGTAATTAATGAGTTTTATTTTCATTTGTATATGTTATGCTTTCAAGTTTTCAGAAGTTTTTTTAAATCTATTTTTCCCCCGGTCAACGCCGTTCGTAGCAGTTTATATCGACTCTATAACCAACTTTTGTAAAACGGGAATAGGCCGATTCTAAATGAATCTACAACCTTCGATTCCTTTGCGCGATTCAAAGAATCGATCCTCGGCACGTTTACGATTTACATTTTTTATTACAGAGTTTTATTTTCATTGGTATGTTATGCTTTTAAGTTTTCAGAAGATTTTAAATGTATTTTTCCCCCAGACAATGCTGGGTACATCGAGTTTATAGCACAAAGTCTTCGCCTGACAAGTGTGGGGTGTCGAAGCCTAGTACCGTGCAGAGCCTCCGGCCTCGCCTAGATTGCCCAGCCGGGCGAGGCTGCGGGCTGGGCCGCTACCCCCCCCCCCCCACCGCGCTACAAAAATACTGTCTAATCGCAATAGTAAATAAATAATTAAAGAGAAATCGCACTAAATCGATAATCGGACCTATTTAAAGGCGACGGACGAAAAATCGGAAATGCCTATGTTCACCGCGGGGCACGGGACGTGCCTCCCGGCAAATTTGTTTGTCCTAAACCCCACGGCCCGAGCGCCAAATCCCTCGCAAGCAAGCGTACACAGAGGGATAGACAGACAGACGGACAGAGAAAAAGTGACGTTTATAGGTAAGATGTACATAATCTATGCTAATTGGGAAGGCAATCGTATTAGGTTATGCAAATGTATGCGATTACTAATGTATGCAGTTATTATAATTAGGCTTAGCTTCGTTGTCTAGGGTTGTATTGTCAATCGGGATAATACAATGAGTTGTATGAAGTTAAATTTCGATTTAAAGCTTTCGTGACTGCAGGGATTCATCTTCTTGGTTCTTTCGGTAAAGTCTCGTAGAAGGGAAGTGATAAAATAATAAAAACAAACGTCGTGAGAATTGTATTTTATTATGTTTATGTTTTATTTTTATTATTTTATTATTTCCCTTCTACGTGACTTTACCGAAAGAACCAAGAAGTTGTATGAAGTTATCCAAGTGTGATGTAATTATGCTAAATTAAGCTCGGCTTCGTTGTCTAGGGTTGTATTATCAATCGGGATAACACAATTATTCTCACTTTAACATTTACTGATTATGTCTTAATGTGTTTATGTCAGGTCTCTTACACATAAACTCAGGAAGGTACCACTCAGACTCTTTTGTGTTAAGCAATTTTAATTTCTGAACAAAAACATAACACTCTAATATGCGAACTCTCATGCTTGGAATTATCAATACAGTACCCCTTGAGATGTTCTCCTCATTGATCCGTACATTTAACCATCAGTGATTACGTTGTTAAACTGGGCAACCGAACAATTGATTAATTCATATTCTTGGTTCTTTCGGTAAAGTCACATAGAAGGGAAATAATAAAATAATATTAATATAAAACAATATATTTATATATTGTTTATATATTGTTATTGTTTCATATTTATATTATTTTATTATTTCCCTTCTACGTGACTTTACCGAAAGAACCAAGAATATGAATCCATGCAGTCACGAAAGCTTTAAATCAAAATTGATTAATTCCTCCGAGTAACGCGAGCATATACGGCGATAGGAAAAAGTCCTTAAACATGCATGCGACGATATTCATTCGAAAGGTAATAAAAAATATTATTATATCCCGAAGGCAAAAGGATACGTCAATGGATTCATCGGCAAGATTATACAATTAACTAAATGTCTTGGAACAATGGTGTACAGCGGTGTATGTCTGCTTACGCAGATGCTTATCTTTTGGCTAAGGCTTCAATTAATTCGAGGGCAAGATTCTGTGATCAAAAGAAAGGTTTAACACAATATATTTTCCCTGTAAGCGTGTAGATTCGTAACGAAGGTTTCAAACGTTTAGTTTACATCGCTGAATCTATTGGTATTTTTTATGCGATTAAAATTAAAAATAACGACTAATGTACTTATAAACGACCGTATTCATATCACTCAATGAGCAGCGAGGTTCTTCGTTATCACTAACAGTTGACGCACCCTTGTCATTAGTCTTCTTATCATCAGTCTGGGTATGTGTTTCATGTGCGTGTGGGGATTTGTCTCCTTGATTCTTATTATTAGTCCGGGTATTCATCTTCTTGGTTCTTTCGGTAAAGTCACGTAGAAGGGAAATAATAAAATAATAAAAATAAAACATAATAAAATACAATTCTCACGACGCTGTCTTTCCGACAGACCTGTTCTTCACCTGATGACGGCTGCTTGCGTTGTGGCCGAAACGTCGTGAGAATGATTTAATTATATTTTATTTTTATTATTTTATTATTTCCATTCTACGTGACTTTACCGAAAGAACCAAGAAGATGAATCCCTGCAGTCACGAAAGCTTTAAATCGAAAGAAATCGTGATAATGTCAATGGTTCTCGCTGTACCAATTACGTGTGTAATTATGTCAGGTCTCGGGATTCAGATCTCAACGCAGGATACAGTTCGCTATTACGACAGTGATGCACGCATTTCGGAAAGAAGCACTCGGAAACCTGTGTTTTTAATCTAAGCAGCTTTAATATCAACTTACTCTAGATTCTAGAACTCCTATCAACAGGAATTAATAGCAACGACAGTACCCATGCAAATATACGTACTCATGAATCTGTATGATATTCAAAAAAAAAAGTATTGGCTAATGTTTACGATCACGTGATAAAAAAATAAAGCAATAGGCAGACCCTAAAATAGCAATATTCATACGGAATGCATGGCCATAAAATATGCCTATCGAATGTTCAGAAGCACCAACAATCCGATCTCACAATCACGTGATCAAAGACTACGTATAGGCTAACCCACAATAGCAGTATCAATGTCAGAATTCGTGTTACAATATAATGTATCCTTATCAGATGTTTAGAAGGCATCAACGGTCAGATTTGCAAGAGTATGCGATTAAAATGAAAACAAACAGCTACTATCTAAAAATCATAGTGTCAATGCAGGCATATTGGTTCATAAATGAATGCTTATCAAATGTTTAGAATAACATCAACGATCGAGTTAGCAAGAGTTTGCGATTAAATGAAAAGAAACTGCTACCATCTAAAAATCATAGTATCTATTCAGGCATATGGGTTCATAAAATGAATTATTATCATATGGTTGGAATGACATCAACGATAGCATGAGCAAGATTATGCGATTAAAAGAAAAGCAAACGGCGACTATCTCAACTAAAATATTCATCCCGCCACCTTGGTTTTGATTATCAGGGTGGCAATCGTGATGCACGGTCCACTAGTCACGATGTGTAGAGTGATCTGAGTTGGTTCCCGTGCGAACCTCGCACGAGGTGGCGTCCCCACCCGTGAGCTGCATGGTCACGTGACGGGTGCATCTGTTGGTGAGTCCGTGTCCGCCTTCTGTCTTCTACCAGCCCCCAAAATTACCCTCAAAGTCCCACCAGGGATGCGTTGATCAGTAGGCTCGGTCTGCTGTGAGCAACGCGGCTCGCTGTCCACTCAGAGCTGCCCACCCTCCAGGCTCGATCATCAGTCGGATTGCTCCATAGCGGCGCTGGCCCAGAGCGCTTGCAGCTCGTCCAGCAGAGCTGTAGAGGTTTATTTTATTGCACGCAACAGAGCTGAGGACCACATTGTCATGAGATAATGCCGACCTGAAGATCGGATGTCGGAGCAGACAGCGACAACGTGAAGACAGCGACGACGGCCCGAGTCCTTCTCGACAGCCCCGAACATCCCTTCTTGCCCTGCTTTTATCCTCGCGGATTCTCTGGGGGAATTTCCTCCGCAGTCTCTTTTGGACACTCTGGGGAGTTTCCCCAACCAAGATCGTCCAGACTTGCTGGAGCCTTCTCTTTGCATCTGTCTTCACGTCGAGACTTGCTGACACAGTCTTTGCACATGCAAGGGCACTTGCTCATGGCTGCGAGCACCCAACGTGGGCTCCCTCCCGGATGGTTTGCTGCTGTGCAGCAGCCTGCACGCCTTCCTCATACAAAACTAAGCGACATGTCTCGGCCCGTGTTTGTGAACACGAGGCAGATCTGAAATGCGGTAGGACCAATACCTCGACCGTGGCTGATCATTGTTTTAATGCGGTGGACTCACACAAAATTGATTTCTCTAAGACGAAGATACTTTGCAACCCCACTGGCTATCAACAAAGATTCGTTCATGAAGCCATCCATATATATAGACACAGACACAATTTCAACCGAGAAGATGGGTACAAACTGAGCAATCATTGGAAGGACGTTATCAACCAGTTTAAGTCATAACTGGCTGTGATGTTCCCATCCTACCACCTTCCGATATTAGTTGTTATTTTCGGCTTTCTGATTTTCTACATTAACAGATGACATTTCTCACATTAACATAGCCACCTCCGTGCACTCGTAGAGGAGGCCGCTCTCCTCCTATCTTACAGTTACATGCTAATTTATAACATTAACATCGCGCTAATTTCTCACATTAACATAGCCACTTCTGTGCACTCTAATTTTTCACATTATCATCATGCTAATCTCTCACATTAACATAGCCACTTCCGTGCACTCTAATTTCTCACATTAATATCATGCTAATCTCTCACATTAACATAGCCACCTCCGTGCACTCGTAGAGGAGGCCGCTCTCCTACTATCTTACAGTTACATGCTAATTTATAACATTAACATCGCGCTAATCTCTCACATTAACATAGTCACCTCAGTGCGCACACCGATCTGCTTTTGACATGCTAATCTCTCACAGTAACATAGCCACCTCAGTGCGCTCGTCGTGGAGGCCGCTCACCGATTTTGCATTGACATGCTAATCTCTCACAGTAACATAGCCACCTCGGCGCGCTCGCCATGGAGGCCGCTCACCGATTTTGCATTGACATGCTAATCTCTCACATTAACATAGCCACCTCAGTGCGCTCGTAGAGGAGGCTGCTCTCCTATCTTACAGTTACATGCTAATTTATAACATTAACATCGCGCTAATCTCTCACATTAACATAGCCACTTCCGTGCACTCTAATTTCTCACATTAACATCATGCTAATCTCTCACATTAACATCACGCTAATCTCTCACATTAACATAGCCACTTCCGTGCACTCGTAGAGGAGGCCACTCTCCTTTCTTACAATTACATGCTAATTTCTCACATTAACATCGTGCTAATCTTTCACATTAACATCACGCTAATTTCTCACATTAACATCATGCTAATCTCTCACATTAACATCATGCTAATCTCTCACATTAACATCATGCTAATCTCTCACAGTAACATAGCCACTTCGGCGCGCTCGCTGTGGAGAATGCTCGGCGATCTTGCATTGACATGCAAATTTTTACCTGGCAGACTTTGATTGGTGGAAAACCAACCACCCACTTAGTCGCTGCCCACCACTTACACTAACAATGGCTGCTGCTATTTCAGCTACGCCCATTTCAAACCTTTATAAACAGTTGTCTTTAGACGCTAACCCCTCTTTTCATGATGACAACCGCTTGTGTTGCGATCGAAACGTCGTTTTTTGTTGTTTTCTTTGAACCTATCTACGTGCCTTTACCGAAAGACCCAAAGCAAATGACACAAATGCACGCGTTTTTCTCATTGAAAATAGGTAAATTTCAAGAATATAACTGTCCTGGTCACAAAAGCAAAGTTTGTGGGGAATAATAGCCATTTTCTGTACTTTTGAGGCATAAACAATTAGGAAAAAACACTATCCAGGAACAATTTATTTTTGCTACACAGTGATATATCATTCACTGGCTCGACCATCAAGATAATTATCCAGCTGGTCGCTTGGGCGATAATCTGTGCACACTCAATACCGATATAATTAATTATTAGGATGCGATTTTTTTCCATAACGCGGTGTTCTTGAGGAATGCAAACTACCACGTTGCACAAGAACAGACTGCTCCTCACAACATCGCCATACTGGATACCGCCCTTGCTACCCTCTCTAAATACCACCATCTCTGGTAAGCATACAATTCGGTTAACTCACGTTATGTATTTAAACTTGTAACCTAACATCTTTTTTGGTTATCTTTAGTCATCTTTTGTTGCTGCTACTTTCAATATATATTTTTTAATTCCAGGCAAGAACCACAGGGGCGCCACGGTGGCTAGGAGATGTTAACTACCTCGCCTGGTACACAGGAGATTGTGGGTTCGATCCTGACCCTGACGACGCCTGCTGCTGTATATTTGGAATCTGCGTCTCTCTCGCATCATCACGTTGGCTAGGAGATGTTAACTCCCTCATCTGGTATGCAGGAGGTCATGGGTTCGACCCCGACCCTGACGATGCCTGCTGCTATACATATGGAGTCTGCGTCTCTTTCTTTCATCAACATCTCGGTGACTAGGAGATGTTAACTACCTCGTCTGGTATGCAGGGGGTCATGGGTTCGATACCGACCCTGACGATGCCTGCTGCTGTATATTTGGAGTTTGCAGTGTCTCTCTTTGTGTCCTCTGAGATTTCCCTTCCACATTTAGAAACACACGTTTAGACTATTTGGCTGCTGCTATATATTTACATGTGACGATGATGATGATGATGATATCATCCCCTTTGTTGAGCTGCTATCATTTGTGATAGCTAGGAGCTACTACATATTCTTTCGGTTTTTCGCTAAAGTCATGTAGTTAGGTTCAAATTAATAAAAAATGAAATTAAACTAACCAAAAAACTACGACGTTTCGATCACAACCCAATCGATCATGATCAGGAGGAAAAAAGAGGGGGAAGCTGCTGAAGGCAGGCTGTTTTTTAAAGGTTTAAAATGGGTGTAGCCCAAGGGTCATAAGCGAAGTGGGTGGGGCTAGTGATGTTAATGTGAGAGATTAGCATGTCAATGTAAGATCGGAGAGCGGCCTCCACAGCGAGCGCGTGGAGGTGGCTATGTCAATGTGAGAGATTAGCATGTTAATGTAATATCGCAGAGCAGCCACCACGTGGAGGTCGGCGCACGGAGGTGAGCCACTACATAGCAGCTCAGTGAGGCCTTAACCTGGTAAAGTAAACAAAATTAATATTTTCGTCTGCAAATTTTGACCGGAAAAATGACCCCCACACCACCGCCCACAGGGATGAATCCAAATGTACATCGTTAAGTCAACAAGAACATTTGTTCTTATTTACGTTGTTTCGGCCTAAAGTCACGTTTTCCAGGGATGCATTCCCAACATAAATAGAGGACTTGCACGTCCATTCCATGTTCACCATTTGGTCACATCTCGGCCTGTATGTCTTTGTGTATTTTGCGATTTTCCTTTGTGCACTGTCAAGTCTTGTGCACTGCCTTTCTTTTACCACCTTGTGCTTTCTCGTTTGCCAATTGTTGTCCTGTACCGTTTAGAACGTCTCCTTCTTTGCCTCCATTCTGACGGCCATCCATCAGCCTCCCTGTGCCGCACGTTAAACGTAACAATTTACATATCCCACGGTAGAAGATTTTCACGATCAGTCGCTAATGGAACAAGTGATTGATGATCGCTAATTTGACAAGTGATTGATAATCGCTAATTGTAAGTGAGTTATTGGATATTCGCTAACTGGACAAGTGATTCGATGATTGTGAATTTGGAACAAGTTTGTTGATTCTTCTCGTCTCAAATGATGTTCGACCAGCTCAAAAGAAAGCTGTCTCTGGTGTGGACCAATCATTTTCTTGGACAATGCATATTTTATCAGAGTATGTTTTTGTTTGCATTCCGACCACAAGTATTGTGGTTAATGCAGGCATCATTCCTCGTAAAAAGGTTTCAGTTTTGTTGCCAGAAAAAAGGGGAAAAAGCTATTCTTATATTTTGGTACTGGCAAAGGAGGTCCCGATAAAGTTATTGGATAATCGCTAACTCGACGATAGACGATCGCTAACTAGACCAGTGATTCGATAATCGCTAATTGGACAAGTGATTGATAATCACTAATTAGACACATGATTGGGAAATCTGTAATTGGTCAAGTGATTGATAATCACTAATTAGACACGTCATTGGAAGACCTCTAATTGGTCAAGTGATTGATAATCGCTCACTAGACAAGTGATTGAATAATCACTAATTGGGCCAGTGATTCGATGAAACACGGAATGATTTGGGTCAATCTATATTAAAGATATATCCAGACATTTATGATAGCGCATGTGCACTACAAAAAGGGCAACTATGAATCCTAGAGATATGCCAAAACAGACAACACCAATACGCATTTCATGTTCGTTGCATAAAATTAAGATGCATTTCTTCATCTTGACGATTGGTGATTGTTTGCCCGCATTGGAATCCTAGTGTGGAGAGGTTGAGTAGGGGGGGGGGGGGAAGGGTCACAGACAAAGGAGGGGGGGGGGGGTTATTAGAATCAGAATCTGTATTCGTCCTGGAGAAATTCGATGAGCTATGAAGGTTTCTTGTCAGAGATGTCCAGTAGGGGAACGGTGTCAGAACGTTACGTAATTTCCAGTAGGTCAATGGGGAGGAGAGCTCATTGAGTTTTTGGTGTTCATCGTATGCTAAACGAGTACAGTCCACGTTGCCTTGCCACGTGGTCCACAGTTTTGGGTTTGCATGGCCACAATCCACAGCCCATTAATTGGGCTGCAGGCTGGTTAGTAGCCTTCCTAGGGATGCACTGCAAGCCACGCAACTTACCGGTGAGGCACGGCCCGTGGAAGTTGGTCTGTCCTCACCAGAGTCCAAAGTGGCTGCTGAGGCCGATTGAGAGGAAGTCCGTTGTCCCTGTTGAGGTCATTTATGTTCCCATTACCAGAGAAACCTCAAACACATTCGTCAACAACACCACTGTGTGTTCTTAACGACTTCATCCAAACAGTTTTCAAGGAGTAAGAACCGAGCGCACGCATTCACGCCTATCTATACTCTTGCGCATTCCTGAACTCACATGGACACACTTGGAAACAAGGCTGCCTCAGCCACAGCTAAGCAAAGGGCCGCTAGCCAGGCTCTTCATACTTTCTTGAGCCCTTTTGGATCCTTCTCAACCGACCCGACTGGACCTTCTCCCAATCCCCTTCATAAAACCTCACCACCCTGCACCTCAAATTATGACCGCCGCCGACTCTTATCCTCTTTTTGGTGATTTTGACAGCTGGTATCCTGTCATTCCGTCACAGACAATGGTAATTGAACATTGCCCGGCCCACCCAGCGAGTCGGGCATCACGATCCCCGGCCAGCCAATCGGCATGAGCAGCAGCAGGCTAACGCCGGCTTGGCAAACCTTGCAGTGCGTGTCTAAATGGCCCCGACCTCATCAAACAACGCCTCTGCGTTGAGCAAAGCAAATGCAAAAAACAAGGCTGTTAAGACACGTCAAGTGCCATGGAGTTGATAAGTAGGACACACTTTGAGAGCGATTCTACGTCTATTGTTAACTTGCAGCTCAAAGAGAGCTTTTGGTGGTCATTGTGAAGCTTGCCCCACCCCCTAAAGCTACTGTCCCCACCTACTGCTGCTGCTGCATGCCCCCCCCCCTTCCACTTCCCCAACCACCACCCAAACGAGCCCCACCGCGTGTGTCCTGTTAAAGGGGCGGGGCCAAAACAAGAAAGGAATGTCATAAACAGGAAGGGGCAGGGCCTAAACAGGAAGTAGTGGGGCCTAAACAGGAAGTAGTGGGGCCTAAACAGGAAGTAGTGGGGCCTAAACAGGAAGGAGCAAGGCTGAAAAGGAAAGGCACCTATAACAGTTTAGTTTTGAATTGGCACTAGCCAATTCAAAACTAAACTGTGATCTGTATAATACTATTTATTCGTCCCAGAGAAATTCGATGAGCTACGTAGTGTCCAGTAGGGTCATTTGGGAGGAGAGCTCATTGAGTTTTTGGTGTTCATCGTCCGCTGAACGAGTGCCATCCACGTTGCTTTGCCACGTGGTCCGCAGTTTTGGGTTTGCATGGCCACAATTCACAGCCCATTAATTGGGCTGCAGGCTGGTTCGTAGCCTTCCTAGGGATGCACTGCAAGCAACACAACTTACCAGTGAGGCACGGCCCGGTGAAGTCGGTCTGTCCTCACGGAGGTCCAAAGTGGTTGCTGAGGCCATTTGAGAGGAAGTCCCTTGTCCCTGTTGAGGCCATTGATTTTCCCGTTACCAGAGAAACCTCAAACACATTCGTCAACAACGCCACTGTGTGTAACCTTAACAACTTCCTCTAAAACGGTTTGCAAGAAGTAAGAACTGAGCGCACGCATTCACGGCTATCTATACTCTTGCACATTCCTGAACTCACACGTACACACTTGGAAACAGGGCTGCCTCAGCCACTGCTAAACAAAGGGCCGCTAGCCAAGCTCTTTATACTTTCCTGGGCCCTTCTGGACCCTTCTCAATCCCGTCACAGCCAATCGTAATCGAACACCACCCGGCCCACCCTGCGTGTCGGTCATCACGATTCCCAGCCAGCCAATCGGCACGAGCAGCAGCAGGCTAACGCCGGCTTGGCAAGCCTGGCAGCACGTGTCTAAACAGCCTCAACCTCTTTAATAAACGCCTCTGCGTTGAGCAAAGCCAATGCAAAAAACGAGGCTGTTAAGACACGTCAAGTGTCGTGGAGTTGATAAGTAGGACACACTTTGAGAGCGATTCTACGTCCATTGTTATCTTGCGGCTCAAAGAGAGCTTTTGGTGGTCATCGTGAAGCTTGCCCCACCCCCTAAAGCTACTTTTCCCACCTACTGCTGCTGCTGCATGCCGCACCCCCCCCTCCCCTTTTTTACATCCCCCACCACCACCCAAACGAGCCTGTTAAAAGGGCGGGGCCAAAACAGCAAGGGGCAGGGCCTAAACAGGAAGGGGCAGTTCCTAAACAGGATGGAGTGGGGCCTAAATAGGCAGGAGCAGGGCATAAGATCAAAGCCACCTATCACAGTTTAGTTTTTAATTGGCATTAGCCAGCATACCATGAGGCAGTAGTGGCAGGTGATTGGGTGAAATGGGACCGGTGTTTTTCCTGATTGAGTGAAAGCAACTAGGTCTTGCAAGTAGGATGTTGTATGGCTGCCTCGCATTGCACGTGATACGATGCTACTGGATGTTTCTAAAAGCTAACCACACGCCTCACTCTTTGTTCAGCATGCAAACGCATCTCAAGTGTTATCGCAGACTGTGCCAAACCCTATATTATATGATTTATTATAACGCGAAGTTTCCATAACGCGGTGTACTTCCGGAATGCAACTACCACTTTATATGACGATAGACTGTACTTGAAATACATCCTTGAGCGAGAGGGAGGGGAGAAATAATGGGTTTGAACCATACTCCTAATCGTACCTTCCATGCTATATTTACTGTCAGAAGTGAAGGTGTCACATAAGGTGAAGAACGTCATTGAACATTCCTCAGTGATGTTTGCCGTGCCCTTATTAATATCTAGGCCCCAAGGAGCAAGCGGTTGTACCATTGATTGTGATGGTCACTGTGATGTCATCAATGGGTAATCATCAATTGTCTATGATCATTTATATCCCATTCTATTCTTGTGTATGGCACTCCATTTATGAGCTAGATGTAAATGTCGAGGTCTACTCGTCACGACGTGAAGGCTTCAGAAGAGAGAGTTTGTATTGGTTTTGCTAAGCCTACAATAAAAGAGTGCAGGCTACAGTGGGCTTACTGTGCGGTACATAGTTTGGATTCCATGGCCACAATCACACTACTGTGGCTTGTCTTGAATGTGCCTATGGATCTGTTTTCTTTTCATGGGTCTCATTGCATCCTGCCCGTGTGTCTCTATGGTTTTAGAATTAGGTCCAGAGTTTGGGTTGCATGGCGAGAAACTATCGGCCCTTTCATTAAACTTTCCATTCGTGGGCTGCCAGGATGCACTGGAAGCCGCGCACTTACCGATTGACGTTGCCTTGGGATCAAGGGAACTTGCTCGTTGTTTTCACCAGAGCCCGGAGTGTCTGCTGGCTCGCGTTGTTCCTGTCGGGGCATTGACTCTCACTTTACAGAGATAACTTCAGCACATCCATCAATAACACCCCTGCATGTGGCCTTACAAGAACATAAACATAGCAAGTGACGGTCCTTCTTTGGAGAATGTGGCACGTAAATATCTTCTGAGCAATCAATGCTTCACTTCTGTTCTTAACTCAGCTCACCAGCTATCGTCAATTAAAGACATCTCACTGTCCCTAGGTGATTTTCTCGTTAGTTTCGATGTAGTTTATTTTTTCACCAAAGTTTCTGTGCCTGGTACCATTGCAATAATTGAAGATTTGGTCCAATAAGGATTGAATGCTGATGTACCAGCCCTGGTGAGACACTCTCACCAATACATACTTCACCTGGAGTGAAACCTTCTACAAACAATCTGAAGTCACCCCAATAGGTTCTCCATGATCTCCGGTTGTGTCCAACATTTTCACGGAAATCCACTCTACGCTCGTCCTTGTGGAAGAGGTACGTGGATGGCCACATGGCCGACCGGCTCTGAAACAATTCCTGAACCACATCTATTCCATACACCCAGCAATCAAATTCACCATGGAGGTAGAAAAAGATAGCATGCTACCTGTCTTGGATGTCTAAATCAAAAAGAGACCAGATGGCTCAATGAGCCATTCTGTCTACAGGAAATTAACCCATACTGACGCTTACCTAAAACCTGATTCCCACCACCATCCATCCCAGAAGAATTCCCTCCACAAAATGCTACACCATAGAGCTCGATGTATCTCCGACCATCAACACCTAACCAGTGAACTCAAATAAGTACACCAAGCTCACAAGGCGAATTAATATTCTGACTACTGAATCTGCAAAGCCATCACCCCAACCGTGAGGAGGGAGCCATGTGAAGATCCAATCAAAACCATCACCCTGCCTTACATAGCAAGGAAAACCAAAAAGATTTCCAAAATCTTGAACAAACACAAGATCCAGGTCCGATTTAACACAGTGCATAAAATCCGTGATCTGATCTCATATGTGAAGGACAAGATTCCTGACCTGCAATATCCCGGCGTCTACAAACTAAGCTGTATCTGCGGCAGCAGTTACATTGGGGAAAATCAACGACATCTCTCGGACCGTGTTCGTGATCATAAGGCAGATTTGGGTTTGCATGGCCACAATCCACAGCCAATGAATTGGGCTGCAGGTTGGTTTTTAGCCTTCCTAGGGATGCACTGCAAGCCACGCAACTTACCGGTTGGGCAACGCCCGAGGAAGTTGATATGTCATCACCAGAGTCTGAAGTGGCTGCTGAGGCCGATTGAGAGGAAGTCCCTTGTCCCTGTTGAAGTCATTGATTTTCCCGTTACCAGAGAAACCTCAAACACATTCGTCAACAACACCACTGTATGTGACCTTAACGACTTCCTCTAAAACGGTTTTCAAGAAGTAAGAACAAAGCGCACGCATTCACGCCTTTCTATACTTTTGCGTGTCCCTGAACTCACATGGACACACTTGGAAACAGGGCTGCCTCAGCCACTGCTAAGCAAGGGGCCGCTAGCCAGGCTCTTCATACTTTGTCGGGCCCTTCTCGACCCTTCTCAACCAACCCGACTTGACCTTCTCCCAATCCCCTTCGTAAAACCTCACCACCCCCGAACCTCAAACGATTACTGCCACCAACTCTTATCCCATACATTATTGAATAGGTGGAGTCCACGTATTTCCTGTACCACTTTCTCCTGGCGAGTCAGGATTAGGGTTAGAAAGCGGATGACCCAGGGACGCGATAATGAACCACAGATGACCAGAAAGGCAAAAGTAGCAGCCTTGTGGCAAGTTGGCGCTTTAAAAAAATCGCAGGAGCTCTATGGTCTTCCGTATATGAAGGTGTTATCGGCCAATCCATGAGTCATGTATAAGTGAAAGCCAGAGCACCTGGAGAAAGGCCAAAGAGGTGAAGTCCACATTTTTGCTGTACCGCTTTCTGACAAGCCGGTGCATGGCTCCTGATCGACAGCCACGGGGAGTTTCACAACATTTGTCAGATCAATCAACACTCGCTGCTGCCTCCAGTGCTAGATTAATAGACTACGTGCAACATCACCACCACCACCCACATTACAAGGTTGGCAGTGGCGGCTAAACTGCAGGAGTCCTGCTTTATTGCACCAATGTATCACGCAGAAGGGAGACTGCTGATATGTTGCTGGAGTTTTCCTATTTCTCCTCCGTTGAAGAAGCACAGATTACAGCGGTATACGATATGGTCCACAGTCCATAGTTACTTATAATCTTGGAAACGGTAACATGTTCAGGCCAATGAGCTGATCGAAGGAACAGATGATAGCAATTGCTGATTGTGCTTGTGACGTAGATGGCCGCGACGTTATACGTGCCGTTGTGACTACACAGGTTGATCCTTACATCTTGTGTCTGTCGTGACTGCGTTGAAGTAGTTGCTGGTGTCCCTACTCTTTGTGTGAAGTTGTCCTTCTTGCTACCGCATAAACAAATCTGCATAATGCTAACTATAAAGATGATGATGATGAACAGCAAGGAAATGTTGAACCAACAATCCATGGATGTCATGTACGGAACCTGCACGCGGGTACACACAGAGTGACATATGTGTAAGCGACATCGAAGGGTGATTTTTTTTTTCCCATTTCAATCGTTACCGGTGTTGCTGGTGTGGGATAACCTAGAATGAATCTCAAGTATAATTGTGCACTCAGCAGTGTGTTGCAGTTCAGAGGTGCCAAGTGAGAGTTTTGTACCGCATCTTGCCGCTCTATGACACGTGTTAGGGTGAAATTGCCACGTGGAGCGAGGTTCCTTGTGCGTCACGAACACGTGGATGCATCGTGATTGGACCCGTTGGTCATACCGTGTACACTCGGCCACGCCCAAACAGCAGCTGGACAATCTTAATTTGGAGCTTTCGTGACTGCAGGAATTACTCTTTGGTTCTTTCGGTAAAGTCACGTATAAAGATAAAATAATAAATTAAATAATAGCATACTACGACGTTTCGATTGCAACACAAGCAATCATCATCAGGTATAAAAGAAATAGCAACAAAAATCTAACCAGAAAACTATAGACAGACATATAAGCAGACAGATATCACAAAGATACACAGAGAGAGAACACGCATCGGCACAAAGAGAGAGATCGTCTCTGTGACGAGGCCTTATATAGAGAGAGGGGGCGGGGCGGAGAGAGGGAGGGGTCAGAGAAAAAAATTGCATGTCAATGAGTAGGACGACGCGTGGTACGGTACGCAAGCTTGAAAATTAGGAGAACGGGAGAGAGACACACTAAATTAGCAAAATATCGAAATGTAATGTAATGCAACACAGAGAGTCGGTCAACACACAATTAACGCATAGCCTGGTTGATTACGTATTTCAAAGATTGCTAAGTTAGAATTTAAGTGTGAAAATTCCAAAGAGAGGACACAGGCAGAGAGAGAAAACAAAAAACCCAGAGAGAGAGAAAAAGATAAACTTAAAACTTCCCAGTAGAAGTGGTTCAATCTTAATTTGGAGCTTTCGTGACTGCAGGAATTACTCTTTGGTTCTTTCGGTAAAGTCACGTTTAAAGATAAAATCTCTGGGTGAGGCCCACTGAGCTACGTAGCTCTTTTTCAAAAGTGACGTGGACACAAATATAGCTCAACGAAGCGGTTTATAATCATCGCGTGGAAATGTATAGCAGCCAAATACTCTGAACGCGTGACGTCGATTCCAAATGTGGAGGGGGAAAAACCGGAGAAAAATCCACACAACTACGAGGCGAACATGCAAACTCCGTGGAGTTTCTGTGCCCTCTCCCCCACCGTGTCCTCACCGTTACGGTGTTGAGACTCCATACTGGGCTCACGTTGAATAACAAAACAAAACATAGTGTAAAAAGAAGTCCACTCTGGGGGCTGACGGAGCACCTTGGGCATGTTGGCGTGAGTGCTGGCACACTGCGTGACCATCGAGATGGTGGTGGCAACGCCGATGGAGACGCGGGCCCCCGCGTTCTCGATGGGGATCAGGAATGTAAAGCAGGACAGAAAGGAGATGAGGAAACTCGACGTGAGCATTTGCTTGTCGGAGGAAGATATTGTCCGACGCAGCTTGAAACCGGCGTGCAGGCACGAAAAGTTTCCTTGGGAGAGGGCGGGTGAGAGTTTAGACATAAAGTTAGCGATAGGGATAAGGGACGGCTTTCTTGGTGTGGACCAATCAGTTTCAAGGACAATGAATATATTATCATAGTGTGTTTTTTGATAATTGTTTTTTTTACCCTTCTATCTGGCAACAAAACTGACACCTTTTTACAATGAATCATGTTTGCATAGACCACAATACCTGCAGTCATAATGCAAACAAAAAACATAACTCTGTATGCCATGCAAATGAGGTTCCAATGGTGTAAATGCTTACCCCGAGCTCTCATACTCTGATGGTGCATTGTCTTTGAGTTGTGCGCCTTTTGGCGTCATCTGGTCCAACACCATGTGAGACTAGGCTCTAAGGAAAGCTGTCTCGGGTGTGGACCAATAAACTTCAAGGACAGTGCATACAGAGTTATGTTTTTGGTTTGCATTATGACTGCAGGTATTGTGGTCTATGTAAACATGACTCCTTGTAAAAAGGTGTCAGTTTTGTTGCCAGATAGAAGGGTAAAAAAACAAATATCATATTTTTTACTGGCAAATGAGGTACCAATGGAGTGTTTTTTTTTGCATTTTGACAGCAAGTATTGTGTTTAATGCAGACATGAATCCTTGTAAAAAGGTTTCAGTTTTGTTGCCAGAAAAAAGGGGAAAACCCCTACTATTATTAACATACACGAGATTTCACACATTCGTGGCAATAGAGTTATCGATGGAGTCCACTCGTACCCATGTCCAGATTAAAGTTATTGTAGGTCACAGGAACGTCTGTTTTTTGTAGGCCTTCAGTGATAACTTTCTCCAGTTGATACTGCTGCCCATGTCACTACCGTCACTGTCACTCCGCTTCTTTCAAGTCGACTTCGTCCAGCTGCTGGACAGAGGTCGCTACTAATACGGTTCAATATTTAGTCTGTGCCCTCATTCGATTGGAGCCGTTCTGTGTGACGCAGGTAAGCAGATTTAATTTAAAATTAGTGAAACAAGCAAGGTATTCCTAGAAATATTATAAGCTAAAATTTATTAAACTTGTTTTATTACTATGGTTATCATATCGGATGACAGCTTTTAAAGGATGCCGTCCATTTCGATAACAAATTCAATGTTCTGACGGGACACCCGCATGGCAAATGCCGCGTTGCTTTACTTTCGTTGACGCTGAACGATTGTTTAATGTTATTTTAGGTGTAATGAGCCTCACTAACAACAAGTAGATGACTAGTTACGACTGCAAATAAATTGCAGCGAGGAACCACGTAAATATATGTATTCAAGAATATATCTTGGTTACCGGTTTTTTTATCATACGAACAAAAAATGCGGCCAAAAAAATGTCGTAGGTCCGAGGCACAGTGGCTACTGGATAATACGGCCCTGCTCGCACCAGCTTGCTGGAATTGGTCCGTCATGCCCTTGGCCTGCTTGGTAAAATCCTGGTTCATTTATTGAGGGAGCGGTTAGGGTTTTATTTAGGCTTGGAGGTAAGGTATACCCATGATTTCAGAGTTGGTACAGTTGTCGGACAATATGATATTTTCTAATTCAAACTGGAGGTTCGTGATGTCCTTGTGGATGATGCTTCTCTCTTTGTTGTCCCATTGCAGAAGCATTTCGTTTGCCGTGTAGCTGGCTGGGACCCGGCACCGCCACATGCAACACGAGAGAGAGATCACATTAGGAGTGACAGGACAGATGGGGTGACCGTAAAATCATTATGGTTACCACAGCGCAATTTGTCATTAAAATCCATCGCGTTCTCGAAATGATGAGAAAGTCCATGAGACACACGGACAGAATGTGTGCAGGTGGGCAGACAAATACAAACAGCGGGGAAAAGATGTGCCCACAAGCTGCAGGAAGCCAGTACTCCCATGATGTATTTGGTGCTATAAATATTTACAGGCCATTTTGTAATGTAAGTGCCACACTGCAAGTACGATGTGTTCTCTAGCCTTTGTGCACAAACCACACCATGAGGAGGGCTGAGAGTGTGACGGTGTATTCCACCAAATCGACAGAAGTTGCACAATGTGGCCATCCCATGAGGCAGCGGTGACAGAGAGGCAAGTGTGAAATTGTTTGGTCCTCATTATGGACTCATAAGTGCGATACTGATCAATAATAGAGGTTTTTTTGGGATAGATCGCGTAAAAATATAAATGTGTCGTTAAACCCGTCACCACCCGACACAGACAATTATTAAGAGGGTTTGTCACGTTAACAGAACGTGCCAATTCGTTACTCGTACAGCACACCGGTTGTGTGTTGGAGAGCCAAGCCACAACATTTACAATCTGAGTACGACGTTTAGCCAGTAATTACGACGAGCTTCATCAGGCGAAAGCCAGATTTGTGGAGAAGTCCACCTGTTTCGTTCATTAAATAGAGGCGTAGATGTGATGACCCCTCTGCATCGCGACTTTCCCCATTGCGGTTTCGATATATGGTGGGGTCGGCATGAGAAATAAAATGGGGATTTTTGGGAGTTTTGCGAAGGCCAGCAGACGACACACAAAAAGTTTAGTAACTCATAAATGCATAAAATATATGTACAGTACTGTATAATATTCATGTATTTTATCTTTAAATACCATAAATATACGGAAAAAAACGTTAAGTAAAATTTTGTAAAAAGATCTAAGTCTGCGAAAAGAACGCGAAAGCCAGCAGCCGACACGCAAAGGCAGGAAATGTCGAGATAACTTAAAAAGGGGACCAAGATAATTTATGCGGGTTTTCCAGATCGTGGGAGGCCTGCGCCCCTGACCCACGCGATGTGGAAGGGTCATCGGTATTGAGTGTAGCATATTTATAAATAGTTGTGTGTTTAATAGCTGCCAAAATGGCCCCGATCAAACCCACGATGGAATTTGTTGCGTTATTTATCGGAATCAGAATAGTTATTTATACTGCAGGAGGAATCTGAAGAGCTCTGAAGCTATTTTTCAAAGATGTCCAGTAGGCACATGGGGTAAGAAGGTTACAACAACAAACAGTACAAAAACACGATGGGAGTGCAAAGAACAAGAAAGAAAATCAAATAACCCAAACACATTACAGGTGAAGGTAAACCATCCACATCCCACCGGGCAAAACCCACTAAAGTAGGAACTTATTTTCAGAAGCTACCTGACCACAAATGAGAGCTCAACAAAGTGGCTTATCGTTTACAATGCGGGAGGAATCCCCAGCTGGGCTTGAATTCTGACCCATAACCTTCTGACCTAGACATCCGACTCATGATCCGCTGACACTTAATCATGGCCTTAACCCCTGGCTTTCACACTTACGTCTTACCACTGGTGATGGTCAAGGGGCAGGTTTGGATATCCCAAGGGAACTTTTCGATGTTCATGGGACAGCTGAGGGTTAGCGTGATTCTAAAACAAGAAACACATTTGGACACGCATACAGATCAGCATCGTAGACACACACGGTGAGACACCACAACAAGGATGAAACGACTTGCTACTCACCAACTAAGTCCGGGTGACAATACCTGCTTGCTGCCAGTTGGGTCACGTGATAGACCCACCAGTTGGAGATGCATAAAAATGAACGACTGTGGCCATGTCAAATATCAGGATGGGTGGGGGGGGGGAGGGGCTGCCACTGCTTGTCGGGAACTGGATCAATGTCCAGTTCCCGGCAAGCCAATGGAATTGGTTCTGGCTCATGGTATCATCATCACACTTCCAACAGGAGAGAGGTTCTTCTTCATAAGTCCACTGGCCAGAACGGAAACTGGTTACCGTCAGAGGTAGCAAAAACTCGAAGCTTGCATCGTGTCTTTTTAATGAGGCCAATAATATGATTGAATTACTTTGATCACCCCGCCTCGTTTCACGTGGGTCACATCAGACGATTCACCGTTGCTGGCCACGTCGAGAGATTGAAACCAGTAAAGCTACAAACAAAACAAACCACACGGGAAGACCACGCCTACAGCTCAAGATGTCGCCGTTCCTAATCGAATCGGCACTATTGTATATATGGGGATGTGGTATTTATTTCCCATGAGAAACCATACATTAGGGCTTCGTTGACGTATCGTTAATAGCGCTAATGATAATGGATGGCAAATGTTTTTTCATGAATAGAAAAGATTGCTTGATCATAACGACGGTAAGTATTATATACTGTGCTGTCGAGTGCATTCAACTGTACACTTGCAAGGCACGGGTGGAAGATGAGGTTGGAGGAGATGCTGCAACACCCAATCCGGGTCTTAGCGATGGCCCAAAGTGAACATTTCTGTGGTGAGGTCTCTGTTGAGATGGAGTTCTAACCCCGGCTAAAGGCGCTGCATGATGACACTGAAAATAAACATGGCCTGCGATGTTCTGAAGGGGAATTCTAGACTGCCTTTAATGCTCCAAAGGGGAATGCCCAAAGGCCTCAGATGGTCAAAAGGGGAATTTCAGATGGCCTCAGATGATCCAAAGGGAAATTCCCAATGGCTTCAGATGCCCCAAAGAGAAATTCCCAATGCCTCAGATACTCCAAAGGGGAATTCCCAATGGCCTTAGAAACTCCAATTTGGAATTCCAGATGGCCTAAAATGGTCCAAAGGGGAATTCCTGATAGCATCAGATGCTCCAACTGGGAATTCCCAATAACCTCAGATGCTCCAACGGCGATTTCCCGATAGCCTCAGACGCTACAAAGGCGAACGCCCGAAGCCGCCGTGTGCGTGTGTGTGCGTTGACCTCATGGAGAACAGGACTCTGCTGTCGTTGTAGATCTTCAGCATGCTGTTGGGCGCCGTCACGGAGTGCACCACCGAGTCCTTCTCGTTGTCGAAGAAGACGCTGGGCCTCCACAGGAGGCTCACCGCTTCGTCGGGCATGTCAATGTGATCTTCTCGTAGCTGCGCCTCCTTGCGGAGTTTGAGGCGGCTGTCGCGCCATTGGCGCACCAGGAAGATGGTCATTTTGTAGTCCTGTTCATTGGGGCAATGGGGAGCGGGGGGGGGGGAGTTGCAGAGGGGGTGTGGACGGAAGGGATGAGAGGACAGCATGGGATAAAATGGGGGAATTATGCCACGTGCTGATGTTTTTCAATTAACCGAGCAAGTTATGACGTCTCGAAGGCGCACTTTTAACAAAAAAGAATTGCACGCAAATCAGGTGCCCACAATAAGCACAATAACCGCTCCGTTACTGAACAAATTAATGCACTTTTCTTTATCTTAACCCTCCCATAAATGATGCAACTTCTGTGTGACCAAACCCCCATTCTGAATCCCTCCCCTCTCATCTTTTCCGACCGTCTCGCATAACGCCGCTCGCCCGAGGTGCATCGGCTTGCGGTCACCAAACGAATATCCAGCGGCGCTTTGAGGTCGCACACTCAGCACACGCAACGTAGGGCTTGCCACGAAGGAACCACAAAACCTCCCTGCCTCCCTCCCTCCCTGCCTCCCCCCTCTCCTCCAACTCCTCCTCCCTCAGCCTTTGCTGCCGTTTTCCATTCCTTTTCGCCATCGTTGTTTCCTCTTCGGTAGGATCGGCGGGGGTCACGGCAATAGCGGCAACAACCAAAAAATATTTTTTTAAAATAACAATCCCTGCCACAAATGAGCAGTGCCCACCGCTTTCCCCTCCCACCGCATAATTGCATTTTTCGCATGACAGAAATTATACCCTCGTGTGTGTGTGTGCCCTTTCAATACTCGCCATATTTGTGACATCGATAGAGGCGATGTTCTTGACAGTCATGCTGATGTTCACGACGGTGGGCTCACCTGTAGATTAATGTAAAAAGTAAACAAAAAAGTAAAAACCAAGCTAAAAAACAAATATGTTTCCGACCCCCCAAATATGACACCATCGACAGGCATGCACCCGGGATGAACATCGACCAGCAGCAAAGGACGGTGGTGGACGGTGATGGAGGTGGTAGAGCACAGTGGTGGTGTTGGTGGACAGACGGACGGACGGTGGTGGTGGTGGTGGCCGGTGGTGGTGGGGCGAGTGGAGAGAGACAGGGGGTGAGAAAGAAGGCCCTCTCGTGAGAAGGAAGACCCTCTCGTGAGAAGGAAGGCCCTCTCGTGAGAAAAAAGGCCCTCTCGTGAGAAAAAAGGCCCTCTCGTGAGAAAGAAGGCGCTCTCGTGAGAAAGAAGGCCCTCTCGTGAGAAAGAAGGCCCTCTCGTGAGAAAAAAGGCCCTCTCGTGAGAAAGAAGGCCCTCTCGTGAGAAAAAAGGCCCTCTCGTGAGAAAGAAGGCCCTCTCGTGAGAAAGAAGGCCCTCTTGTGAGAAAGAAGGCCCTCTTGTGAGAAAGAAGGCGCTCTCGTGAGAAAGAAGGCCCTCTCGTGAGAAAGAAGGCCCTCTCGTGAGAAAGAAGGCCCTCTCGTGAGAAAGAAGACCCTCTCGTGAGAAAGAAGGCGCTCTCGTGAGAAGGAAGACCCTCTCGTGAGAAAGAAGACCCTCTCGTGAGAAAGAAGGCCCTCTCGTGAGAAAGAAGGAGCTCTCGTGAGAAAGAAGGCCCTCTCGTGAGAAAGAAGGCCCTCTCGTGAGAAAGAAGGCCCTCTCGTGAGAAAGAAGGCGCTCTCGTGAGAAGGAAGGCCCTCTCGTGAGAAAGAAGGCCCTCTTGTGAGAAAGAAGGCGCTCTCGTGAGAAAGAAGGCCCTCTTGTGAGAAAGAAGGCCCTCTCGTGAGAAAGAAGGCCCTCTCGTGAGAAAGAAGACCCTCTCGTGAGAAAGAAGGCGCTCTCGTGAGAAGGAAGACCCTCTCGTGAGAAAGAAGGAGCTCTCGTGAGAAAGAAGGCCCTCTCGTGAGAAAGAAGGCCCTCTCGTGAGAAAGAAGGCCCTCTCGTGAGAAAGAAGGCCCTCTCGTGAGAAAAAAGGCCCTCTCGTGAGAAAAAAGGCCCTCTCGTGAGAAAGAAGGCCCTCTAGTGAGAAAGAAGGCCCTCTCGTGAGAAAGAAGGCCCTTTCGTCGTGGTGAGCAGCAGGCCTCGACGTTGGCAATGAGCCTCTGGACTTGTCCCCGCCAACGCCACCGTACCCAGGTCGACGTAGAGGACTGCGTGGGGATATCGGAAAGGGCGTAATGAGCTATTTTGACCGGGACAAGGGGAGGGAGGTAGTGGCTATGCAACATCTGACTGAGGGATGGCCCTCTCCTTTCTCCCCCCCCCCCTCACTTTGACTGCAATAGCTACGGATGGAGATGTATTTTTTTTGTTCCCGTGTTACAATGTAGGGTGCTTCAAAAAAATGTGAACACTGCTCCTCTGGGCTCTGGAGACCACGGAAGTGGGTATCAGAGCCGCTCCAATCAAAATCCGTCAAACTCTGCCCTCTGTTGTAAAGATATACAACTATTCTACTGTATAGATGCTAACGCGGATTTAGGATTAACCGGAGCAACAACAATAAAAAGGCGCTCCTGAATGGTTCAGAAATATAAAAGTCAGAGAACCTCGCCCTGGGGGTGTCATTCATCAACAAGCGCCCGGTGGCCGAGTAACCCCAGAACGAAGTGGGCGGGGCATATGTGCCCTGGGGTCAGAGAGCACCAAGGTGAAGCATGGAAGGTGACAAGGAAACATACAACAAGTTATGACTTAAAGTGGTTGATGACATCCTTCCAATGATTGCTGAGTGTGTACCCATCCGCTCGGTGGCAATTGTGTCTGTATATATGGATGGCTTCATGAACGAATCTTTGTTGATAGCCGGTGGGCTTGAAAAGTACCTTCGTCTTAGAGAAATCAAATTTAATGTGAGCCAACCGCATTAAAATAATGATCCAATCAAAATCAGATATACATCTACTCGACTGTTTAGGCGATAACCTGGATTTAGGATTAACCGGAGCAACATCAACAAAAAGCCGCTCCTGAATGGTTCAAAAATATAAAAATCAGAGAACCTTGCCCCGGACAAGGGATATCAGGACACCCCCCTAAAGCCAGGCCTGGGTGTGTCGTCCGCCAACAAGTGCCCGGTGGCCAAGTGACCCCCTCCCCCCCCACGTAACCCGGTCGGGCCCTGCCCGAAATGGCTACGTGGCAACATACTGTGGGGCCCACCGCAGAGGTCGCAAATGGGTTTTGATTCCTTACCCATACCCGTACCTGGCCGCACCAGGGTCGCAAATCGGTACCCGTACCCGTACCCGACCGGGTACGGGTTCCCGTTCCCTACCTGTACCCTACCCGAAATGAGTGACAAGCGGTTACTCACAAGTGACTCACAGCCTACCCGTACCCGGCCGCACCAGGGTCGCAAATGGGTACCTGTACCTGGCTGGGTACGGGTAGCCGGGTATCGGGTAGGGTACGGGTATCGGGTACCTGGTTGCGATCTCTGGCCCACCGTCCGCAGGACGAAGGTCGTGGGGTGGATGTGCGATGCCGGCGTGTGTAGGGAGAAGGACGGTCTCGGACGCACTGGACCTTGGCAATGTACGCTCAGCTACGGGGACGTGGAACGTCACGTCATTGGGGGGGGGGGGTGGTGGGGAAGATCCAGAGCTCGTGGAGGGGGCTTAAAGGTACCGGATTATACATAGTCGGTCTCACCTCCACACAACAGCATTGGCACTGGAGTCAAACCCTTCCATTGGGGGTGGTCTGTCTCCTATTCCGGAGTAAGCCCTGGTGAGAGGCCCCGGGTGGGTGTGTACAGCACACAGATGTTTACTCTCCAACACACCGGTGTGCTGTACTAGTGTAATAAAGGTCGTGAAGCGTCTTATGGAATCCGGTCTTTATTTGTCTTTCTTTACAATACTCCTTCACGCTGCTGACAGACAGCGTGAGGGAGATAGAGAGAGAGAGAGAGACGCGCGCAGCCACGTGGCAGCCTGGACCCCCGCTCTCGCGTGGCCTCACCCTCCGTTCATTCCAGTTCTGACCACGTGTTGTTCGTCTCCACCCCTATTTAATACCCGGGTCACGTGGTACCTTTCCACCAATCCTGGTTAGCCTCTATGAAATCTTCTAGACTCCATCGTAGGCTCCCGGGACCACGACCCTGACTCGTCTCCCCATTGGCTGTGGCTAAAGCCAGCAGAACCAATCCTCTACTTACAGATGTCACCTTCCCGTTACATCAGGGCCACGCCCCTAGGCTTCCCCCCATTGGCTATGGACCAGGACCGGCAGAGCCAATCATCGTGACGAGTTGTGATCCGTCAGCGACCCGGATATATCCTCACATTACACTGGTGTAATGCGGGCGTAAACGGCCTCGCGGATATGACGTCACAGGGGGAGGAGTTAGGTCACGTGAGAGAGAGGGATGAGGTCTTAAGGGAGAGATACCGGAAGAGACGGGAGAGAGTTGGAGATAGAGATAGAGTGAGGCCACGCAGGGCGGAGGTTGGAGAGTGGCGAGATCGCCACACACACAGTAAGACTCGGCACCGTCGGCCAGCGGTGACCGAGCACGGAGGAACGGGCAGCAGCGGGGGGGCTGCAGTGAGAGCAGCCGGAGGCCTGCACGAGGGAACCTGCAGCGGAGCTGCATCGGAGTGGAGAAAGGCTACGGGAGCGACGGCAGCATCGAGCTGCCGAGCGGAGAGGCTCTGAGTGAGGGCCGTGTGGGACAAGTTGTAAAGAACCCGAATAAAGGACAACGGAGACAGACACAGTGAACGAGTCCTTTATTACACTAGTAACAAATTGGCATGTTTGTCTACGTGACAAATGCTTACTAATTGGCTGTGGCAGGAGGTGGCGGGTTTAACAACACATTTATATTTACACGATCTAACCCAAAATAAAACTTCTATTATGGATTCTAGATTTGAAACTTTCGTGACTGCAAGGATTCATACTCTTAGTTCTTTCGGTAAAGTCACGTAGGTAAAAAATTAAATTAAAATTAATAAAAATAAAATAAAAATCACGACGTTTCGGAGGCAACACAAGTCTCCGTCATCAGGTGGGACCGTCACAGCCAGATTTGCTGTATCAAGTGAGGCAGGAATTCAAGATGCAAGCTCTTAAATACAAGTTAAGGGGAGAGGGGGGGGGGAGCTTATCAGAATGTGGTAGCCAATGAATGGAACGTATCGGGAGGGGGGAGGGCTAAAAGAAGACACGAGGTGCTCGTAGGCATCGACGACGTGGACGTGTTTGTGCGCAAGTCACTGTTGTTGCACATGATAACGTATGGACCTGATCCATGTTTGTGGAGGGGGGTTGGGGTTTTCTTTTGGGTGAGGCCACGTGGGCCTCACCTGGTCAAATGAAAAAAAATTCCGCCAAAATTTGTGTTTATTGAGCCCTACCGACACCTGACGCGACTGTCATGTCTACACAGATATCATGATATTCGTTCGTGGCGTAGTCATTGATGAAACTAAATTCAGACCGATGAAGCTCCCACGTTGGCGCGATGATTTCCAATGGCTGGATTCAACATCGACACAACGACGGCGGTATTTCTGCGCAAAGCACCATGAGCGTTGAGGCGGAGAATTTGAAAACATCGAGAGAGGACACTTCATCGGCTGCCTCTGTACTTTTCAAAGGTGCCCGCTGTGACGATACCAGCTGGCCACAGAAGGAGTAATTCCTCTGCAAGGGTAAAGAAAACTTTCCATCATGACATACACGTACGTCATCAGTTTTTCTTCTGATTCCATTTTAGAAGAAAAAGTTTTCCTTTAAACTCCCACAAGGCCATGGGCGGGGGAGGGCTGCATGTGGCACAGTTTTTCGCGCCGGCTATCATGGAATGGCGGTGGTCGTGTCACTATGATTCTCCACGGGCGAGTAAACAACGTATTTTAAAAAAAAGTGTGACAGCTGCTACAACTAAGCCTGCTATTCCCTCAAATAAAATTAACGCTGAAACCGCTTTGTGCATTTCCGAGATTCGGCAGTGAATGGGACCATCAAAGACAAAGATCCCCCATATAGCCGGTAACACGAGGGGGTGGGTGGCCAGCACCACGTCTGACCGCCTTTCTCTCTCAAGTGGCAATTCCTACACGCCGCACCAGGTACTCATTTGAGGTTGAGTTGACCTAGGAGAGGCCCAGAACCAGTTCAGATTATTGTCACTGGTGTTGGTGGCCGTGAGCGGGAAATGAACTTGGGTCGCCGGGTTCGTGGCGCACCGCGTTAACCACTACACTACCCACACCCCGCAACTTGCAGACGTTATCGGAACAGGAAAAGGGTTATAAAATAAGATTTTCCAAGACGTCTGGCCAGTGTAGAAGAGTGCCCTCTCTAGTTGGAGGATAGGCAGTTGCAGGGCCGCGCCTTTACCTCGCCACTCTTCTCGTACCGACCTTGGTTGGTGGGCCGTTCCATCTTGTTGTAATGCGTGAAGTCCTCCAAGATATCTTCTATGCCTTTCACCGCCTGGCAATCCAGCAACTCATCAATGCAGCGGACACTCGAGTACCTTGGCCCGTCGACGACAATGGGGGTGGTGGTGGCATCATTCTGCTGTCCACAGCTGCAGTGATAGAGACGGCCCGAGAGAGGTACAATTATAATAATTTACACTTGCAAGACGCATTTCATCGAAGACCAAAAACAACAGACCACTCACCTGGCAGGGTGAACGTGCAAACGGACAGTCAGGCAGTTCTGTCGAAGCCTCTGATTGGTGCAGCGAGGCCTAATAGAGGATTGGTTAAGGTCAGAGAATTAAACTGATTGGACAAGAAATTTGAATGTAACGAGCAGTTGACTGTCGGGGGGGGGGGGAGGGGGGGTTACGATTGTCAACCATTGGAGGAGGATGGGGATTGGCTGAGGGAGAGAGGGTGAGTGAACATTTGGGAAAGTGGTCTCGAGGAAAAGGGCGGTTGGAGAGAAGATGAGTGAAGTTCTGGCCTAAAGATAGTTGTTCATGTCTACAATAAGAGTTCATGGCAAAGCAAGAAGGTGCTTCGGTCGTCGTTACACAGGGATTCCAATGCACCGTGTACGAGAAGCAGGGAAATAAGACAGATCCAGCGGTAAACGACCAAAACTATTGGGGGGAGGGGATAAGTCAATTTTAAAGGCCGATTTTAATATCTATAAAGATTCCAATTGCCTTATTGTCAGAGGCAACGCGTTCCATTGTCTTGGAGCTGCACTGGCAACAGCCGGAATACCCCCAGGAAGGGAGCCTTGACCTCGGGCAAGTAAGAACGTAGGAGACGAGAAAATCTCAAGGACCTCAATGGTGGTGTACATAAGTGGATCGGTTCCTGTAATTAACGTGGGTGGTCTAAACCCATCGTGACAGCCCTGGAGGGCAACAGCAGGGAACTTTCTTATCAATTACAAGTTTGATTGGTAGTCAATGAAAAGAACAAAGGGGAGATCGACGGGTGGCGATGTGCCCACGAGATGGGCAATGGCTTCCACGCTGATTGGAGGCGCACCCGTCGGAGAGTGGAAAGAGAAATGCTCGCGTATCCGACCGTCCGTTGCGTGTCGGGCCTGACCGTGGTGCGGCCATTGTTTGTCGAGGACAGTGTATGAATGTTCACAAGTCCGGGAACTTTATTATTTGGCACGTGTCCGACTGTCGCTCTGTCGTCTCCAGTGGGGAGGAGGATGTGTGATGCAGTGCCGTCTACAATTCCGCCGGGCTTTTAAAATAAGATTATAAACATCATCAACAACATCAACAATATCAACAACTACAACTTCACCAACGACAACAAGAAACAATGATCACAATTAAGATTGATTGTGAATTGTATTGGCAACGATAACCATATTTTGCAGCCCTTTGTCAATCCACGGCTGGACAAAAGGCCTCTCTGCGCCTTGTTGATTTGTGAGGGTTGTTTGACGATAATTCACCGCGCGGGTCAAATGAAACTGATAGTGGGACCCTGGGGTCCCATAAGCCTCCGACTTTCAAATAAACCGCGTTGCAACGTCATTTTGTGTCTGTTGAAGGGAAACAATATGGCAATCGATTCCTCTCGACGAGCTCTACACGCGCTAATCAAAGTTTCGCTTATTCAGCTCTTCTGCGCATTCGTCCTCACTGTGCTTGGACGACATGACAACAGAATGATCCGCGCCAGGTGGGTCACGGTGTTTGTGTGCTTGGTGGGACAGAGTCGCCCAAAATAAGTTGATTAGCTACGATTTTGACTTCTGTTTTTTTCGGGACCCCGGGGTCTCGCCATTAAGGTTCAAATGTAGGGCCGGATTAATTGTTATTGTAGGCTTTTTGCACTTATGTTTCGTAGGCCTTTAGTTGATGACATTCTTCAGTTGCTGCTGCTGCCCCATGTCACTACTACCACCGCTCTCACTACGCTTGTTGGACCCATGAGTACAGTCGACCCTTCCACATCGCGGGGGTTAGGGGCGCAGGCCCCCACGATTTGGAAAAACCGCGTAACATGTGTTGGTCCCCTTGGTGAACGAAGCTAGTACCTCTAGTTACCAAACTTTTTTAATTATCTAGAATTTAAGCTTTCGTGACTGCAGGAATGACTATAATCTTTGTTTCTTTCGGTAGAGTCACGTGGGAATAAATAATATAAAACGAATCGCGACGTTTTGACCGCAACACAAGCAACCATCAACAGGTGAGCGCAATGTTTTATGAAGAGAAAGAATCACACACACACAGAGGAACACCACACCAAGAGACCTACACACATGGAGAGGCACACACAGAAAGGCGCCCGGAGAGACACACGTACAGAGATTTATATAGACTGTAGAGATGGGGGGGAGGGACGGGGCAGGGGACAAGGACCTGTGAATAGACATGTCATCGTGCATAGACATGCAAATGTAATAAAGGTCATTGAGGCGACTTCTGGAATCCGGTCTTTTATTCAACTTGTATTACAGCTTTCCTTCACGCTGCTGACAGGCAGCGTGAGAGGGACTAGATAGAGAGAGAGACGCACACCGCCACGTGGCAACCCGGAGCCCCGCTCACGCGTGGCCCCCTCCTCCGTTCGATTCCCGTTCTCACCACGTGTCGTTCGTCTCCACCCCTATTTAATACCCGGGTCACCGATGGTACGTTTCCACCAATCCTGGTTAGCCTCCATGGAATATTCCAGGCTTCCTCGTAGGCTCCCGGGACCACGCCCCTTGACTCATCTCCCCATTGGCTGTGGCCAAAGCCAGCAGAACCAATCTACTTACAGCTGTCACCTTTCCATTACAGTCAGGGCCACGCCCCTAGGCTTCTTCCCTTTGGTATTTGGATTGTCAGCCAACACCGGTTACAACCCCGAGTCGAGGTGCACCTATTGTTCTCTTTTAGCCCTGCCCACCCCCTCAACACGTTCCATTCATTGGCTACCACATTCAGATAAGCCCCTCCCCCCTTAACTTGTATTTAAGAGCTTATCTCTTGGAATTTTGCCTCACTTGATACAGTAAGAACAGGTCTGTCAGAAAGACAGCGTCTGAATGAGCACCACCAAGCTTGGCAGCGTATATTTAAGCTGGGTTAGGGGAGGAAGGGCGCCTTGACAAAGGAATTTGCATATCAACAGAGGAATTTAGCATATTTATGGGAAATCCAGATATGGGATTAGTCCCTACTTGTGGAATGTGTAGGAGGTGTGGGGGGGTCTCAAAGTCATATTATGCCCGTGCATTATGTAGGATTAGCAGCAACAAAGGGAGGAGGTAGGGTTAGCAGTTACTGGGGAGGAGGTATTATTTTTCTACCTACGTGACTTTACCGAAAAAACCAGATAGTATGGATTCCTGCACTCACGAAAGCTTCAAATCAAGATTATAGTGTGTTTTTTGTTTGCATTTTGACCACAAGTATTGCGGTTAATACAAAAATGATTCCTTGTAAAAAAAAAATTCATTTTGTTGCCATAAAAAAGGCGGAAACCCCTATTCTTACATTGTTTACAATTGTTCAGAGGGCGTTCCCAGCGCCCCCCCCCCCCCAAATGTCTTTAATTGGACACCCCCCCCCCCCCCCCGCTATGACCGTGCGAGTGTGTTCAAGCTTTAGCCCTGATTTTGTGAGGGCTTTCGGCATTCATTCCTGGCAACAAAATGTAAACCTTTTTTTTACAAGGAATCATGTGCGCATGCGATTTTGGCCAATTATTGACCCCCTTCCCCCCTCGTCACACGGCGTCACGAAAAGTCAGACCCCCCCAAAAAAATTACGTCACAAAGCTTTTCCCCCCTCCCCCCCCCCCCAAAACCATATTTCCATTTTGAAAATAAAACATGCTTCAAATCGTCTTGGTTCTTTCGGTAAAGTGACGTAGAAGGGAAATAAAAAAATAATAATTCTCACGACGTTTCGGCCACAACGCAAGCAGCCGTTCTCAGGTGAAGAACAGGTCTGCCCAATACTGTGGCAAGCAGCCGTCCTCAGGTGAAGAACAGGTCTGACCTGTTCTTCACCTGAGGACGGCTGCTTGTGTTGTGGCCGAAACGTCGTGAGAATTATTTTATTATGTTGTATTTTTGTTATTTTATTATTTCTCTTCTCCGTGACTTTACCGAAAGAACCAAGAAGATGAATCCCTGCAGTCACGAAAGCTTTAAATCGAAAAATGCTTCAAATCATTTTAAACTATTGTCATTGTATAACAAAAGGGGGGTTCCCCTTTTTTATGGCAACAAAACTGAACCATTTACACGAGGAATCATGTCTTCATTAACCACAATACTTGTGGTCAAAATGCAAACAAAAAGCTAAAAAATCCCATTTAATTTCTTCTGCCGACCCCGCGATATTTCGAAACCGCGATGGTGAAAGTCGCGATGCAGAAGGGTCGACTGTACTTCGTGCAGCCTCTGGACAGAGGTCGTTACTGATGATACGGTTCATCATTTAGTCTGTGAGCCCTCATTCGATGGGAGCCGCGCTGTGTGCCGCAGATAAGCAGGTTTACTTTGCAATTATTGGGGGGCAGAAAACAAGGTAATCCTAAAAATAGTACAAGCGAAAATTTATTCCACTAATTTGTTTTACTATGATTATCATATCGAACTGATGCAGCTTAAAAAGGATGCCGTTCATTTTCATAAATAAACAGGGGTCAACTTTATTTTTCGTAGGCCCTCGGCATAATGCCCAATACTGTGGCTTAATTGGATAATTCCGCTCAGGTGGGTAGGTGGGTAGGTGGGTGGGTGGATAGGTGGGTGAGTGGGTAGGTGGGTAGGTGAGTGAGTGGGTGGGTAGGTAGGTGAGTGAGCGGGTGGGTAGGTGAGTGAGTGGGTGGGTGGGTGAGTGAGTGGGTGAGAAGGTAGGTGGGTGAGTGGGTGGGTAGGTAGGTGAGTGAGCGGGTGGGTAGGTGAGTGAGTGGGTGGGTGGGTGAGTGAGTGAGTGGGTGGTTCCGAAAAAAGCAGGACGGCTGCTTGCGTTGTGGCCGGTACGTCGTGAGAATTATTTTATTGTTTAATTTTTAATATTTTATTATTTCCCTTCTACGTGACTTTACCGAAATAACCAAGATGATTGTTTCAACTTGTTAAACAAAATAAAATACAGATGTTATTGACCTGGGTCTCTCACCTTAGAGGCAGAAGCATTAGCAGCAGCAGCTTCGCCGAGACAGGATCCAGCAAAGCACGGCGACCCATGGTGTCACTCCTCGCTCGCTCTGCAGCGCCGCTTAAGAAGCGAAGCACCTTCGCTCGTTTGACGGATTACAGAAGCCCGGCGGACCGTAGGACACCTCGTGGCTCCGAGACGCAGCGTGCAGCGGAGAGCGATCGAGTCCAGGCGCGGTTAATATAGGAACTGAGTCAAGTGCGTGGGTGGGTGGGCGGATGGTTGGTCAGGTGGGTGGGTGGGTGGGTGAGCGGGCGAGTGGTCAGGTGAGTGGGTGGGTGGTGAGCTGACTGGGTGGGTAAGGGGTTGGGGGCTCAGGTGAGCGGGTGGGTGGGTCAGCGGGCGGGTGGCCAGGTGAGTGGGTGGGTGGGTAGCCAGGTGAGTGTGTGGGTGGGTGGGTGAGCGGGCGAGTGGTCAGGTGAGCGGGTGGGTGGGTCAGTGGGCAGGTGGTCAGGTGAGTGGATGGGTGGTCAGGTGAGCGGGCTGGTGGTGAGGGGCCTGGGTGGATCCCCCTGTCAGAGTTTTGATGGAGGACGGTGTTGATGGCAGGCGAAACATTCAAAAAACATGAACTAAAACTTTCACACGTGTCGGAATGTGCACGACTTAACTTTCGTTAGGCAAGGTTGAAACTAGCGGCGTGAGATGCCCGCCTGTGTGTGTGCGTGGTGTACACATCGCAGTGTAGCAGCGGTTAGCGCTACGCTGCGCTACGAACCCCGGCAAAGACCCTGGTTTGATTCCCGTTCACTGCCAACAGCACCTTTGACGATTTTCTGAGCCGGTCGTGGGCCTCCCCTAGGAAGACTCAGCCTCAAATTAGTACCTTATGCGGTGCGTAATCATTGCCAATAGGGAGACAAAGGCGGCCGGGCGTGGTGTTGGCCACCCACCCCCTCGTGTACCACAGTGCAGGTAGCGTTCATAGGTGCTCGCTGACAGCACTTGCACCAAAAGTCTGTTAAGGCTACACGGGGGATCTTCGTTTGTTGTCTGTGTGTATGGCAGCATCACGCGTTTCGAGTATTTGGCCGCTCTAAATGTCCACGCGATGATCTGCCATTTTGTTGAGCTATCATTTGTTGCAGCTCCGTACGGTGCGAAAGAGGTTTACACATAGGTAGCCAGGTCGCTCCTGAAAAATCGAACAATCACTACTACTACTTTTTTATTTTATTACTAGGTGGATTATCATCACGTGAGCAAGTACTTTAAACGCATGCTTTTACAGACTCATAGAGACCACCATAGACCCACAGAGACCACATCGAGATCCAAACTCACAGAGACCCATACAGATCCACAGTGACCCATACTCATAGAGACCCACAGAGATCCAGAGACTCGTATAGAACCATCGAACCCCACAGAAACCCACAGACCCACAGAGACCATTACTAAAACGTAGCTGTTTTATTTATTTATCTGTTTCAAAGAACAAATTTGACCTAAGGTCTTCGCTCATTTACCAGCTTCACATTCCCTATTGCCGTACAAATACTGGAGGAAGGGCCATTGCTATTGATGCCCCCAGGATCTGGAATGCTTTTGCCAATAAACTGCAACTTGAATCAATACCTATGAGAACTTCACTCAAAACTGCTCTAGAGGAGTTGTACACCCCTAGCTGCCACTGCAATTCAGTGGCCTAAAATACAATGTTTCGCTCAGGATGATCGCTGCAAAGTATGATCTGTGTTTTGATTTAGTGTGCTGATCTTAAAGGTGCATTGAAAAATGTTGATACTCCGACTGATGCTCCTGCTGTTGTGGAGTGATTCATGCAGCCAGCTATGGCTGCAGGGTTTTGGTGGTACATGTTGTTTACGTCGTTTATTGCGAAAATTCGGTCACAGTTCCTATGACCACTGTTTCATTACTTTTATGGCTTTATTTTGGTGATTTTCGAAAAAAAATTTGGTTTGGCCATGTTTGTTTGTTGTGGAACAGAGTTAGACTGATGGCCTTAATCTAAGTTGTCTTGTGGCTGTTGTTTGACTTGCAGCCCACTGGGATTTTTGCACACAGCGTTGGTGTACGGTGCTTTTTCTGCAATATTTTGCTGTCTTTTCTTGTATTTTCTGTTTGCACATAGTCACATATTCACTTTAAGATGTTTTTTGTTCATGTTTTTGTTTTTTGTTTGTTGCGGTTGCACCCGATTCAAGAGCCGAATGGCTCACAGGGCTACACCTAATACATGAACTTGAACATATATTTGGAGTGGTCGCGTGGATTTCTCTCCGGGTCCTCCGGTTTATTTTTCCCTGCCACATTTTGAATCGGTTTTTTTTGTGATTTGGCTACTGCTATACATTTCCACATTTTGATGATGATGAAGTTGATGATATCAGGCACTTCGTTCAGCTGCTATCATGCCGTGATGGCCAGGTCGCTTCTGAAGGAAAGAGTTTCACAGCGGCTTCAGTGGGGGACTTGGGTTGGACCAGATGACACATGTGAGACTAGGCTCTCAGGAAAGCGGTCTGGCAAATGAGGTTCCAATGGTGTAAATGCTTTACCCCGAGCTCTCATACTCTGATGGTGCATTGTCTTTGAGTTGTGCGCCTTTTGGCGTCATCTGGTCCAACCCATGTGAGACTAGGCTCTAAGGAAAGCTGTCTCGGGTGTGGACCAATCAACTTCAAGGACAGTGCATACATTATCAGAGTTATGTTTTTGTTTGCATTATGACTGCAGGTATTGTGTTCTATGCAAACATGACTCCTTGTAAAAAAAGGTGTCAGTTTTGTTGCCAGATAGAAGGGTAAAAAACGAATTAGCATATTTTTTACTGGCAAATGAGGTTCCAATGGTGTAAATGCTTTACCCCGAGCTCTCATACTCTGATGGTGCATTGTCTTTGAGTTGTGCGCCTTTTGGCGTCATCTGGTCCAACCCATATGAGACTAGGCTCTAAGGAAAGCTGTCTCGGGTGTGGACCAATCAACTTCAAGGACAGTGCATACATTATCAGAGTTATGTTTTTGTTTGCATTATGACTGCAGGTATTGTGTTCTATGCAAACATGACTCCTTGTAAAAAAAGGTGTCAGTTTTGTTGCCAGATAGAAGGGTAAAAAACGAATTAGCATATTTTTTACTGGTAAATGAGGTTCCAATGGTGTTAAATGCTTACCCCGAGCTCTCATACTCTGATGGTGCATTGTCTTTGAGTTGTGCGCCTTTTGGCATCATCTGGTCCAACCCATATGAGACTAGGCTCTAAGGAAAGCTGTCTCGGGTGTGGACCAATCAACTTCAAGGACAGTGCATACATTATCAGAGTTATGTTTTTGTTTGCATTATGACTGCAGGTATTGTGTTCTATGCAAACATGACTCCTTGTAAAAAAAGGTGTCAGTTTTGTTGCCAGATAGAAGGGTAAAAAACGAATTAGCATATTTTTTACTGGTAAATGAGGTTCCAATGGTGTTAAATGCTTACCCCGAGCTCTCATACTCTGATGGTGCATTGTCTTTGAGTTGTGCGCCTTTTGGCATCATCTGGTCCAACCCATATGAGACTAGGCTCTAAGGAAAGCTGTCTCGGGTGTGGACCAATCAACTTCAAGGACAGTGCAAATATTATCAGAGTTACGTGTTTTTTGTTTGCATTATGGCTGCAGGTATTGTGGTCTATGCAAACATGACTCCTTGTAAAAAAAGGTGTCAGTTTTGTTGCCAGATAGAAGGGTAAAACACGAATTAGCATATTTTTTACTGGCAAATGAGGTTCCAATGGTGTTAAATGCTTACCCCGAGCTCTCATACTCTGATGGTGCATTGTCTTTGAGTTGTGCGCCTTTTGGCATCATCTGGTCCAACCCATATGAGACTAGGCTCTAAGGAAAGCTGTCTCGGGTGTGGACCAATCAACTTCAAGGACAGTGCAAATATTATCAGAGTTACGTGTTTTTTGTTTGCATTATGGCTGCAGGTATTGTGGTCTATGCAAACATGACTCCTTGTAAAAAAGGTGTCAGTTTTGTTGCCAGATAGAAGGGTAAAAAACGAATTAGCATATTTTTTACTGGCAAATGAGGTTCCAATGGTGTTATTTTATTTTATTTCTACCTACGTGACTTTACCGAAAGAACCAAAGAGTATGCTGCTATAAATGTCCACATGATAATGATGATGGTGTTGATGATATCAGCCACTTCGTTCAGCTGATATCATTTGTGATGGCCACGTGAGGGCTACTGAAAGAAATAGCGACACAAAAACCCAGTGGAGCCTTAACCTTGTAACGTAAAAAAACAATTGTTTGCATCGGCTGAGCAATCCTCAGGAACACAACAACTTGAGAAACCGTCTCTGCTTTAACATCGCCACAGCTCCCTGTTCAATTTTCGATTTCACAAGTAGTACTAATCACATACCTGCATTTCCCATAAATATGCTAAATTCCTCTTGATATGCAAATTATTTTGTCAAGGCGCCCTTCCCCCCTTCCAACCCAGCTTAAATAGACGCTCCAAGCCTGGTGGTGTTTCATTCAGACGCTGTCTCCCCGACAGACCTGGTTTTCACCTGAGGACGGCTGCTTGCGTTGTGGCCGAAACGTCGTGAGAATTATTTTATTACGTTTTATTTTTATTATTTTATTACTTCCCTTCTACGTGACTTTACGGAAAGAACCAAGAAGCTCCCTGTTTGCATCACGAACCCAGGTGGCCGGCAGCAACATTTCAAAGAAGATGATGAGATTATTTATCGTCAGGTGAGTAGGCGGGTGGTGAGCTGACTGGGTGAGTAAGCGGGTGGGGGCTCAGGTGAGTGGGTGGGTGAGTGGGTGAGTGGGCGTGTGAGCGGACGAGTGGTGAAGGGGCCTCGGTGGGTCCCCCTGTCAGAGTTTTGATGGAGGACGGTGCTGAAGGCAGGCGAAACGTGAAAAAAAAACATGAACTAAAAGCTTCACATGTGTCGGAATGTGCACGACTTACTTTGGTTAGACAAGTTGAAGCCAGCGATGTGAGTTGCACGCCTGTGTGTGTGCGTGGTGTACACAAAGTTCAAGTTTCATTTATTAGGTATAGCCCTGTGAGCCATTCGGCTCTTGAATCGGGTGCAACCGCAACAAACAAAAACACATGAACAAGAAAACATCTTATAGTGACTAAGTGCAAACAGAAAATCCAAGAAAAGACAG